GAGAGAGAGAGAGAGAGAGAGAGAGACAGAGAGAGAGAGAGAGAGAGAGAGTTCGGCCGGCATGGCTGCTGCCCGCTGACCGGCCTGACCCGGGGGTCGGGACGAGGACTACCAAATTGGGGAAAGAAAGGGGGCTAGGAGGTGGACCGCCTGAGAGCTGCGATCTTCTGCGCAGGAAAAGCGCCTCTAGGGGCCACTTGCTCCCGGGGGTGCACTGTGGCGATTTCCCTGGACCTTTCCAGCTTCGACGCTGAGCCTGCCTGACCAACTGGCTTCTCCAAACTGGAGACAACCAACACCAGCCAGAGTCCTGGGCAACCCCACCGAATTGTTCCGGTCCCCAGCTCCCAACCACAAGCCAGAATGTGAAGCTGGACAGATCCCAGCCCTCTTCCCGGGTAAACTCCATTCCTGCTCAGGATTGTCCGTTAGCGTGAAAGCAAAAGGATTCCACTGTCCCAAATTCCTGTTGCTTTTCCCTTAAAAACAAACACAAAACTTGAGATTGTGTACTCTTAACAGTATCCTGGCTGCTACCTCAGTAATACCCAGTATCAAACCAAAACTAAGCCTGATGTCTAGCTGTTTGTAATGATCTAGTTATGCAGTGACTTAGGTTCTACCGGGTTTTTTTTTAAGGTAGTGTAATGCTTTTAAACGAAGTATGTGGACGGTTCTCTTAACCATAAACTGGACTCTAGTGTATTTCACAATTTAACAAAATTAGTTTTTAGAGCTAATGGTGTAGACTAGTGGTGGTAAAGTGCTTGCTTAGCATTGCTGGAGGCCTATCCCTACCTAGCGCCACAAAAATAACTAAACAAGGCAAAATTAGTTTTTTCCCCCGGTACCAGGGATTAAACTTGGGACCTTATGTTTGCCACCACTGAGCTACATCCCCAAAATTAGCATTTACATGGAATAAACAAACTGACTTTCCATTATCAGATCTGTTTCAGATAGGCTTGTAAGGAATGGAGAAGGTTCCAGTAGTTTTAAGGTTAGCACTGCCCAGTTGTCTTGAAAATGCCATGCTTTATCCCCTTAAAGTTTACTTCTGTTTGTTTACATACATGGTAATGTGATGAATTTTCAGTGAGTTTAAACTGGGTTCACACAATACCATTTGATTTGTTTTGCTGTGAGAAGACAATTTTACATACTCAGCTTAAAAGAAAATTCTTAGATATACTAATGAGGGAGTCCTCCATAAAACCTCAACACCCAAACACCTTCATCCATTACTGCTGGAATATTTTATTTAAAAATGTGTCACAGTGAAGGACATATTCATGCTAGATTTTATAAATGTACACACATCCATGTAAAAACAAAGTATGTAATGTCACTGTTGGCCTGTCCAGAGGAGGAATTACTAGGAAGTTAATGTAGATGTTTATACTTCATTTGACAATAGCTTGTTTATCTGAACTAAGGTTTCAGATGCTTTGCAATTGACCAATGCTGTCAATAACAATTAAAGAACTACAAATTTCACTGTTTTGCCTTGGGTCAGAATTTTCAAAGATGGATAATTTTCACCAAGACTCTGTTGTTTAACCTAAAAAATTATTATCCTTAACTACAGCTATTTAATGGAATTTTAAGAGATTTACTAATGATTATCTCTGCAACAGAGGATATACTCAGAAGGAATGAATATCTGTCACTCTTACCAAAACACTGTTCTCTACAGAGCTCAAAAGAGCATTATATCATAATAAATCACTTGTTTAGATGCCATTGCAGATTTGGACTATGCTAAACAGAAAGGCAGCATACCATTTCTTATAGAGGAAGCCTTTAAAAAAAACTCCCTGAGGATGTTTTAGTAGATATGTTCAGACAAACATAGCAGCATTTTATTAACATGGACAGAGTAATACGGTCACAAGGAAATACTCGAAAGTCTAAAATAAATGGCCAGCATAAAATGAATACCAACGAGGGTAGGCATCCTAACATGTCTCACAGCTGCTGAATGAGAGTGGCTTGTAGGTAAGCAAAGAAGAGCAACATTTACATCACAAACTGACTGTAAAACACTTCATTACTCTGGGAAAGGTAATGAACAGTCATAACCCATAACTAGAAAGATGAGCCATTTGAGTGTATTAATTGGGTCAACCAGTTCTGTTAGATTTTAATACTGTGTGGTATTGATTTCCTCTACGTAATGAAGTCAACTTTCTTATTTTTTTTAACTTTCATATTCTTGACAGGAACATTAATCTTTTTGATTGAGACAGTCCAAACCCATCTGACCTCTGACACTGGGTCTAAGAGTGAACTACTTGCAACACTGATGCATTTTTCTTGAAGTCTTCAGTAGTGCTAAATCAGCATGTTAACATAATCTAAAAATGAAAATGACAAAGCTGCCACACAAATGAAAAGTATCCCATATTCTATCACGTGACAGAGAATTTGTGGTTAAAATTATTTAAGATCTGTGGCCACTCATTTAGCTAAGTGAAGAACACCAGTGTTTTAATAAGGTCCCTTTTTATCACATGACATTTCTAAGCAAGTATTTGGAATGCTCAGAAGATTCCAATTTTAGTTTCCCAGAGCCTCCTGAGACATAATTTAAAGTGGGACTTGATAGGAACAAGCATCTTCAATCTTCAGACTCTAGTTGAAACAGCAAAAATAGTTTCTGTTAAATCCTGGGAAACCTCAGGATAAGTGCCTTATTTGTGAAATGGAAAAAAGATCAACAAACAAAGATAAAGGATGCAACAGATACCAAGGTGGGTAAATGCCCAATCATTTTCAGTCCTCATAATGTGTGCAAAACTACGTGGGACAAGTAGGCCAAATCTAACTGGACAGTTTGAGGAAGATGTTTTCCTATTTGATGCACAAGAAATTATTTTATGGAAACGGGGATGGAAGAGGGGACAGTTCTATGCTTCTCACTGTGTTACCTTTATTATGTTCCCAGTGTCACTGAGACTAGCTTAAAAACAGCCTGGTCTGAGAATATTCTAATCACCAGCCGCCTTTTCCTCCTTTCTTCTTTTTCTGTTGCTGTTTCTTCTTTGTTGCTGGAGCCCCTGCAGGTTTCTGGTGTCTTGGGGGTATAATGTTACTTGTAGAGGCAGATACGGTTGCTGCACTGCCGGGTCTTGGGGAGGTAGGAGGACTGCTCACAGTTTTACTGGCATCCCTGAAATCATCACACCAGAAAAGTTAGGGTCATTCATAAATTCAACAAAAGAAAAGTGTGTAAAGATGTATACATGTGGATTTTACTTTCTATACCTAACAATCTCTCACACATTTTTCTTTTAAGGTGGGGTCCTCCTCAGCTCCTACCCATTTTTATTTTGTATACAATTTTTAGGGGTTTATAACTAAAAAATAAGTAATACATGGTATAGGCCAATTTTTAGAAAGCTTAGAAAATAAAAAATTTACTCATCTGTAATTCTGTTATGTAGAAATAACTAACATTTTTAATGCTTCTTTCTAGTTACTTAATGTTATTGGTTTATGTACAGTTAGTTGAATGACTTCGTGTACTGCTTCCTTTTCCAACTATATGTCTCGTATTTACAATATATTAACAAATTCTGACCAAGAGCCTTCAGTCAATCTCAGAAACAACCCAGGTCCCAAGTGACCTCTTTGTGGAGCCATGACTTACAGTTCAGACGAAGATCCTGCAGTTGCTCCCTGAGTGCCCTTTCCAATCTGATCCTTCTTTTTACCCTTCTTTCTTCCTCGGTAGTAAGAACGTTCTCGCATTGGCAGCCATCTTTCTGGATCTGGGTTAACTTTTGGGTCGTAATTCTTAGGCAGTTTTCCTATGAAACAATTGATGAAGAAATGAGAGCTGTGCCTATAATAGTTTTAAGACAGTTTGTTTCAACAATGTGCCCATGCCTGGGAATAATACTGTAATTGAAATTGAGAAAATTTTATCTGTATAATCTAGCAAGGGACCCACCCCCCCATACTGAGGATTGAACCCAGGGCCTTTACACTGAGCCACATCCCCAGCCCTTTTTTCCACTTTGAGACAAGGTCTTCACTTAAGCTGTTAAACTGCCCAGGCTAGGCTTCAGGCATGTGTCACCAGGCCCAGTTGAAAAGACCTAAGCATGATACAAAATTCAGAGGCTGGGGCTGGGGATTTAGCTCAGTGGCGCTGCAACTGCCTTGCAAGCGCAAGGTCCTGAGTTTGATCCCCCAGTATCAGGAAAAAAAAAAAAATTCAGAGGTTATATAGAAAAAGATTTATCCTGTATAAAAAATCATCTCAAATATTTATTATTTTTATTTTTATTTGATAAGACATAATGCATATTTAACAGCAAAAAGTGTACTTACTATAGATTGGATTAATATCCTAATATAGAAAAAATTCTTGTTACTCAAGGAAAAATGGGAATAGCTACAATCAGGGTAAGCCAGAAGAAATAAAAACTGTTAAACGTGTGAACAGATGTTCAACTAATCAAAAATAAGGTATGAAAATTGACTGACAAATGTTAAGAGCAGTAATATTGTAAAATATTGGTGAGAAACCAACACTACTGGCAGAAGCATACATGTACTGGTATAGCCTTTGTGAAAAACAACTTAATTGTCCAGCACCAGTAAAAATTTACAGGCTTCTAGAAATTCATGCTGCTGAAGCCTATAAACTACAAAGTTACACAAGAATATTCTCTTTGTCATTCTTTAAGATAGCAAAATAACTATATAAATAAGAATGATTAAATTATAGCTAGACTATAGTAAACTATACAACTAGATTAAAAAGTGAGGTGGGTGTGGGCCAGGGATTTAGCTCAGTGGTTCCGCAACCTCCCCCCACAAGCATGAGGTCCTGAGTTCGATCCCTAGTACCAAAAAAAAAAGTGAGGTGTACCTATATTTAATAATTTGGAAAACTGTTCTTTATAATTCAGTCTAAGGTAGAGGAAACAAATTATGATATTATGTTCATATTGATTTTGTAAAACTTTTATTGACTGCGTGTGTAAGTGTATAATTATATGAATACAAAATTGGATGTATACAAAAAAAGTTAAGTAATCATCTCTGGGAGCATGCATTTGTGGTAGGGAATTTTCCATTCTTTATTCTATAATCTATTAAAAATTATTGTATAATTCTAACTGTTATATTCTATTATATATTATATGTATTCTATTCTAATTATTCTATAATTCTATTATCTCTCTATAATCTTTGTTTTTAGGACGGATATATATTATTTTATAAGTTCTAAAAAATGCTCATTTGGAAATAAAAAAATATTGAACGGGATTACTGCTACCTACACCTGTTTCCTTGAAGCATTACTAACACAAAAAACATTTAACTTAATTTTTATGCAAAGACTATGACAAGTGAAGAACCAATAAAACTTCTAGTAAAAGATAGTGGATTGAATGCAAGCATTAGTGTGAGCACTTTCTCCAAGTTCCACTAAAATGGTAACAAATACATTAAGAAAAAGAACAGGAGAAAAGAAAAAAAGTTATCAACACATTTTGGAAGCAAGAAAACAAATGGAGCAGTTGACAATAAACTTAGGTGAGTTCTAAAATATCATTGTACAAAATGAACAGGCAATCTGATGCATACCAGACTCTCCCCAAACTCAGGAGCACATAGGTGTGTAGGGTTAACCTCTGGATGAAGCTACACATAATATGTAATTCCACCCACTCTTTTTATGCATTAAGGAACACAGCTTAATGCCAATCAGTGTACAACATTCTCCTGCTTTATGGTTCAGGGCTGGGCATCCACCTGTGTTGGGCCAATCAGATTAATAAGAAAAGCTCGTTAAATTCAGAGGCCCTATCTGCCCTGCTAAATATAAATGACAAGCACATGGCCCTATTTCTAACAAACATCCTGAGATGAAAAGGATTCAGTCTTGTCAACATCAGAATAACGAGATACAACTACCACTGGGTCAATCAATCTGATGCTAACCTTCCTCTAGACTGCCAGTTTTATAAATGGTATATTTCTAAGCCAGTGTGAGGTTCTATGGTATTTGTAGCCTAATGTACAAGGACTTACTGTGTGCTAGGTAAGAGATTTTAATCTTAAGAGATTTTTCTTAGTTCTTTGAGCTAGATATTATCATTCTACTTTACAGATGAAAATCAGGCAGGTATGTCAACTGTAGTCACACAGTGAGAATACTATGGCAACAACTTGAGTTTAGGCCATCTCAGAGTTGCATTTATTAAAGTGATAAAACTAAATGTTAGCTGTAGTCAAAAAAGACACCAGAGGAAAGTGTAGTACACTTACATCCAAAGTTCTATATAAGGATAGGGTCAAGCTTTTATCATATAGAAAAGAATCTAAAGTTAATAAAACTTACCCTTCTTTTTCTTCTTCTTCTTTTTCAAATCTCCCTGACTGAAAGAGAAAAAAATTATTACTATCACTGTGATAAAATATTTATAGAGCATTAAGTATATTCAAAAGAACAAAGTGGCTAGGATATCAGTCTAGATTAAATTCAATCACATTTCAGATATTATACTTTCTGGAAGGTAGTTTAGAAAAGAGAAGTGACAATAGTTTTCAAAAAAGGGGTACCAATTACATTAAAAAAAAAACAACTAAAAGTGCTACACATGAAACTTAATGTAAAACTTTTTCAATGTAAATGGTATCTGTTCTCTGAAAACAGATGTTACCTCTTCTCCAAACCACCCCAGAGTATTTGGAGTGCAGCAGCTCAATAGTATGTGGAGTGTGATGGGTAAGTAATGTGCACAAACATGAAAATCTACAGTACTCAGGTAAGTTACCCTAGTGCAAGCTGAGAACATGTATAGGTAAAACAGCACTAAAGAGCATCTCTGAAAGGACATACAAAACAAATTACACTGCTCATGGTCCTGAGAGGGAAAAGGCTGGACAGGGGGAGCGGGGAAGAATTTTCTTTACTTTCTTTTCTCCCCCCAGGGCTGGGGATGGAACCCAGAGGCCTTGCACATATTAGGCAAGGACTCTACCACAGAGCTATAGTCCCAGCTCTATCTTTTAAGTTTTGAATCTTGTGAATTTATTTAAGTAAAACCTTTATTAAGTACATTGGCCAAAAAAAAAAATACTGAAAAGGGCCTAAGAAAACATTTCAAAATAAGTGTTAAACTACAACAAAAAGAGGGAGATAAATCTCTGTAGACTCCTTGGATATACTTCAGTGAGAAGCATAAAACAGTGAGCTAAAAAGGATGGTACAGCAAGTTACTGCTAAAATTGCATTCCATAAGTCATTCATTTCATAAGCCATTAAGTTCAGAATGAACTTGTTAAAGTTCATTCAGGATATCCTGAAGAATAAAAAATGCAATGTAGTCTCTTATTCTAGTACCTTAGTACTTCATTCTAGTACTTAAAATTCTGAAGTAGGATCCTATTTGCTCAGAATTTCCCAGAGGTTCTTAATTCTGTGCTTTTGCCCAGTTTGCCTTCCTCATTCTCCTCAGAATCCACAAAATCACTGCCCAAATGTCTTCCTCATTACCACTGTCCCAAAGAAAAACTTTTCCCTCTGGTGTACTCCTTTATAACATGCACAATCCTAACACATAACACCTTTATTGCAATTATTGTGTAAATATATTTCCTCTTGCTTTGTATTTTGGTTAACATCTACCACAAACCCTTTACATAGTGTAGCTTCAACAGAAACTAAACCTTTGTACCCAAAAGTTAGCATAAAGACCATTAATAATGTCTAGCAAAAATACTGCGCTGAAACTTAAAAACTTCAGTCATCCTCATGTTTCTTTAAGAAAAAAGAGATTAAAGAATTAGAAAAGAACTGTGGCTGGGCGTGGTGAGGCACATCTGTAATCCCAGCATTCAGGAGGCTGAGGCAGGAGGATCACAAAAAGAACTGTGCATTCTTATTAGTTACCCAACACTCGTTTTGGTAAGGAAAAAAGTATTGAAAATCTTTGAACAAGCCATATTTGAAAACCCATTTAGAACCCAGCTTGAGTTTATTTTATTTTGGGGTTCCTGATAAGGCTTGGAGTTGGAATCATGTGATGAATTGGAATTTGCAACAAGTTAACATCTTTAAGACTTTAGTCCTTAAATTTTTAAGACTTATTGTGAGGATACTTTTCATGGGGTTTCCTAATGAAGAAGGTCAGCCATACATACATAGTTGCTTTTTCGTGTGTGTGGTAGTGGAGATGGAATCCAAGGCCTTAGGCATGCCAGGCAAATAAATGCTCTACTACTCACATCCCCAGCCCTGTCTTAAGGAAAAAAATTCAGATTTCAAAAAGCTTTCAAAAAAGGAGGAAATAATGAAAAATTATGAAAGTCGCAAAACTGGAGAAGTGTTTCATCTTTTCCGTGCTCTATTCTGAATCAAAAAAAGAATCTTAAACATTTTAGCATGAGGCTCTGCTGATTTTAAGATGGTAATTTGGGAGAATAAGGAAAGAATCAGAATCAGAATCTGACTTACTGTAAATGAATGAAGCTGGCTAGCCTTTCTTCCAAATTGGCAAAATAAACCATCTCAACTTTGGTTTAGAAATACTAAATGATTAGCCAGGTGTAGTGGCACACACCTGTAATCCCAGCACTTGGGAGGCTGAGGCAGGAGGATTGCCACAAGTTTGAGGCCAGCCTGGGCTATATAGTGAGTTCAAGGACAGCCTGAACTGCATAGCAAGACCCTATCTCCAAAAAACAGAACAAAGTAAAACAAAAAACACTAAATGATGCGCTAACATCCAGTAGCTAAAATCCATGTATATCAGGCTACATCCAGTAGAGTAAATCCAGCCAACAGAATGTTTTGCATAAAAAGATGAAATATGTCTACATTTAGCTGATGGAAAGATCTCCAGGACTCACTAAATTCAATGCAAGCAAATTAGAAAATAGTATAACAGCATCCGTCCCTCTTCTGTGAGAAACAACAACAAAAGAATCTAAGGAAAATATTTATAATTGATCTTGTGTATGTAGACACCAAGAAAAAGATCTGGAAGATACACTATGTCGGTGGTGGCAAACCTATCGCATGCTGTTTATGTGGGCTGTTTATGTCACTGAAGGTTCTAAAAGGTTTGCCAGCACTGCACTATGTTAATACCTGAGGTTGGTTTTGGGCTGAAAGGATGAGGGGAAACAAGGAGTATGTGCTGGGCACAGTAAAAGAGAAGGAAAAGAAACAAAGAGGACTTACGCTTCATTCATTTGGAATTTCTTGGTTTTTGGTTTTTTTTTTTTGGTACCAGGGATCAAACTCGGGACCTTGTGCTTGCGAGCCAGGCACCAGAACCACTGAGCTAAATCCCCGGCCCTGGAATTTCTTGAGAATGTATTTTTTTATTCTTTATATAATTTAAAATCAGCATTAGAGACTGTTTTAGAAATATTTTTAACTAGAAAAACATTACCCTTGCTCCTTTGGCTGACTATCTCCAGTGACTTTTCCACCCTTCTTCCGAATATACGTAGCACCAGGAGAATTTTCAAGAGCCTCGACATCTACTTTTAGAGACATACTATCTGATGAAGGCAAGTGTTTACTAAGACTGGGAGAGAAGAGGAGTTCAGGAACATAACGCACACACGTCAGTCAATATATGTATGCCAACAGAACAAGATGCTTATCTTTTCCTTATGCCCTTCATCAAAAGCAAACCTTATTCTTAAATTTTCTACAGAATAACAAATTGGCAAGTCATGTCAATTATGTAAGCACACATTTTGAAAACAGAACGTAAAGGGTCACAATCTTATCATTTATTGCTTAGCTCAGTGATATACTTCAGGGTAATCCTACAGCCATCATCAAGCTTATAAAATACAGGCTTGCTCACCTCCACCACCCCACCTTAGGTTTGGGAACACACCTTGATTAGAGTAGCACATATGACCCAAGCTCAATCCATCAGGTCACTGAACCCCCCATGGACAGTAATTGAGATGGGCATGCAATCCAAAAACTTTAATCAGAATAACAATTTCAGAATTTATGCACAACTACCCTTAACATATGCTGTTGTTTCATTTATTTTTTTGTGTGTATGGGGCTGGACTTAAACATGGAATATAGACTGACTTCCTTTTTGCTTCTAAATCAGTCTACCTCAAGGTAGAGCTGCCACTGCATTTTTCAATCACATTGATTAGTAATTCTAATATCTGCTTTTACTAGTTAGGAGGTTTTATTGTTAGTTAAAATTTACAACAGAAAAATACCTGGCCAATACACAGCTACTGGAAGAGCTCTACATTATACAGGGAGCTGTCAGCAACAACCACCAAAAGGATACACTTTTGCTTTCTCTGGATCTACAAGTGAGTAAGCAGAAATAAGCTGTGCCAAGGTATGAATATCTTTTGGATTTTGCCTAAAAGAAGAAATAAGAATGTTACTAAATAGCTTATGAAACTAAGAGCTTAGGTAACATAAACAAGGAGAATAACTCCCTCATATTCAATAACAGCAATAAAATGTGGATTTCTACATCTCCAGCTTTCAGAACTTACTTCCATAGCTGTTCTAGGTCACTAATTGCCTCCTTTTTCCGCCCATATTTGAGTTTGAAGTTTGCTGCTTCTCTTATCAAGGACAAATGAGCAGGAGATTTGGGCTACAAGTTCAATTAAAAAAAATTAAGTTAAATATCCAGCAAGTCAATGAAGTTATATTTATTAGATCTTTACAGTGGATCTATCCATTAAGTTTTACTGAATGGCTGAAACAAACCACTCACACATACACAGGGATGTGAGTAGATAGATTACTGTGCAAGTAATCACCAATTAGGAAGCTGAACATATCATATCCCTAGTTAGTTGTATGACTACAAACGGTCTCCAAAATTGAATCTTAAAGATAAGCCACCATACTTTAACATAATACTCCCCAGATCCCTGAGGCCCTCTACTAGTAGTGGTAAGAACACACTGGTAAGGTGGGGACTTCCTGTGCAGAGACCCATAGTGGAAAAAATGAAAGATGCTCCAATTAAATGAAAACATCATTAATTATCCCAGGTACTACTGTTCCAAAAATTACTGCCACCCAAGGATTCCCTAGCCATTTATGATGACCTTTCTGATCTGCAATCATTGTGCTGTCATTCTTATATCCTGTGATATGTGCACACAAGTGCACATATATGCACATAGAGGAAGGAGTTTCAAGAAACATGCTTTTCCATTCTGCAGCCATTCTTTAGATCTAAAATCTTTATTATGGACCAGGTATACTTAAAAAAATGAAGTTGATAGTCTAATAGTATCCCAATTTTAATGTGATGACTTGGAATATTTTAGTTCTCTGAAATTTTGAGTTTATTACTGCAGCTTTTTATTATTTAGGTAAAAACATGTTCTTGTAACATTTTACTCTCTTTACTTACCTGATGGTTTTGGTACCACTGGATAGCCTGTGTGAAGACCTCAATGGCACTATCAATATCTTCCTCATGGCTGTACATGGTCACTAATGCGGATACCTGCCAATCAAAGGTATACATTTATTCTCCCTTCACTCCCAGAATACACTTTCTGAAATAGTCAATAAAGATTTCTAGGCTCTTTGCTAGCACCTAGTCATATAAAAATGACTCCTTAGATAGCACAACTTTACTCCTAGCAATACCATGAACAGTGTTTTCCAAATATAAAGGTAGTTTATCTAGTAAATATACCTTTTTCACTAAAGCACTGTTGGGTCACAAATGGTTGGTAAGTCTGAAAGTTGAAAATCAGTATTTAGATACGCTTATTCAGTAAGATACTGCTGAACATTCAAGTGTATGACCACTGAGGCTGAACTCCCAGGACAGCTGCATGTGGACTGAACTGCATAATGCCAGGGGAAAGACTACTTAGAAACTATCAAGGACAGCAAAGAGGCCCACAGCACTACAGTGGAGGGGGAGGAAAACAAGGAGGAGCCCTTCAAGATGAGGACAGAAAGTTAGAGACAAAACAGACTTTTAAGAAACATCAGTAAGACTGATAAATGTGTGGCCAGACTAATCAGGAGAGGTGGAGGGAGGCAGGACACAAATAACAGGTGCAGGAATGAGGGAAGTTCTACAGATAATAAGAAGATAAGAGAATAAAGAGCCAAACAAAAGACAGATACAGAGGAAGTAGGGAGATCTTTTTCAAATGGGTGGGGGAACAAGAGATAGAGGGGGGAAAGAACCGGGGATAGAAAAGATGATAAAAACAGAGCTTCTGCATATATGAAGGGGACCAACAGCTGGATGGAGCAGGGAGGGAGGGGAAGGGGAAGGGATGAAAAACAAAAAAAAGAGAGAAAAAAATTAAGATGTATTATGTACCAGTATCAACTCCTTATGATAATTGTAAGTGTTACATATTGCAAACATGTACTAATAAAAAAACTGAAAGTAAAAAAAAGGGGGGGGATATTATCTACAACTTCTATGGCAATAAATTCAACAATTTAGATGAAGTGGTAAGTTTCCTAAAAGGTAACAGAAGATCAGATATAAAATATTAGAAACATCTTATTTTCAGCCATATAGTATATTGGATTTGTTTCTAATTTAAAGTAACAATAGTACAAACCTTACAAAATGAATCAAGAGAAAGTACTACCATAATATTATTACACACTTATTGAGTGCTAACTGCAAACAAGCTGGGTTGGAGAATACAAACATGAATAAAATAGATGCACATCCACTATGAAACATTTCCAGTTTTCTTAGCTGTACTAGTGATCTAAACCCATCATAGTTGAATAATCAAAGAACTGTATGTTAAATTTGTTGGCCACTATTACCAAATTGCTTTAACTCAAAGAAATCACAGCGACTTGGCAAACATGTAGGTGAAGGAATTTCCTGTATAGTTCTGAGATTTTTTTTTAGGTTGGTTTCTATTGATAATATAAGGCCTGAACAGTGCCAGGTATAGCTGATGGAGTAATAAACCAATTAAAAGCATAGCACAAAATAAACTTAAATTTATAGCAGTTAAGTAACTGTCATTACTCCCTCAACTACTTCTACTTTATAAATGTATATAAGTAGAAATTATAATTAACAAACATCAGATATATAAATGGAATATCAATTCCAATATCTTTTTGCTCTTGTAATATTTTAGTTACAAACTCACCATGCCTGGTTTATGCTTTAACTCTTCTATGCTTCTCAGAATTAGACATGCTTTGGATATATTACCTTAAGAGATTAAAAACAAAATCAGCACCACAGTAAAGAAAGTATATTGGGGGGAGGGCAAGAAAGTTTACTTCATTCCATCACTTTTCCTTAGGAAAGGTATCAAGAATCTTATTTTGTAACATCTCTCTTTGTTTTTTAGTCTCATGATGTAGTTCAGGCTGGGCTTGAACTATGTTGCCCTGGTTGGCCTCCAGCTCATAGAAATCTCCTGCCTCAGCTTTCTGAATGGTAGAATTTACAGGCATGCACCACCATGCCTGGCTTGTAACATCTCTAAATATGTAAGCTCTGGGGTCTTGGGAGACGGTGTATGCTTTTACAGATAAGGACAAAGACTTGTGAGGAAATAACATACCTTGCTGAAGTTCAGAAAGAAAGCTTAATGGCAGAGTTGCTACAGAAAAGAAGTCTTTCAACTTCCAGTCTGTTGGTTTTCTTTCTTTCTTTTTTTTTTTGGTACCGGGTAGAACTTGGACCTTGCACCTGCAAGGCAGGCGCTAGAACCATTGAGCTAAATCCCCGGCCCTGTTGGTTTTTAGCTCATATCAGACTAATGAAAGTGGTGATGGGGACCCTTCCCCAAAGGCCTTGAAATATGCTGTTATAGACATGAGTGCAATGGAAAATTTGTGGGGTTAAGATTCTGATTTTCAGCCACAATGTCATCCCAGCACTCGGGAGGGTGAGGCAGGAAGATTGCTGTGAGTTCAAGGTCAGTCTGAACTACATGAGACCCTGCCTCAACCACCCGCCCCCAAAAGATTCTGATTTTCTATTCATTGAAAACCTCAATAACTTGAACCCTCCATTAAACCATGACTGACTCAATAATTTTGGAATGATAAATAAAATGAAGTTTGCAAAAATTTGCAAAGATATTAGCAGCAGTTTTAAATCTTTCTTTCATTATTGCCTCATGAAGGAGCCTTTTTAGACATTTTTTTCCTAATTGCCAACTCTCCTTCCCTAATCCATGACATTTTTATTTCTGCCATTGCAACAGCTAAGCTTTGGTTGACCATTTATCATCCCCATTGAGAAGGTATGCTCTACATCACAGATGTCTGGCAGAATTTCCTGTAATGATGGAAATGCTCTATTATCTGTGCCAGACAACACAGTGGTCACTAACTGCACGAGGGTAGCTAGTACAACTGAGGAACTGAAATTTAAATTGTTTAATTTTGATTAATTTAAATTTGAAATAGCTACAGGTGGCTAGTGGCTAGTGGCCAGTATACTATTCAACACAATTTTAGATAATCACTCAAGGTTGGTTCAAAACAGCAGCAAAATACTGGTAGTTCTCTTATTAAGAATCAAACACATCAGTTATTAAATTCTACAGCTGGCAAAGTATAAATGAAGGATAAAAGGCTCAGGTAAGAAATACTGGAAAGAAAAAAAAAAAGAAATACTGGAAAGAACAATGTAAAGTAATCCCTTTCTTATTCACACAAGTATTACAGGTGGCAGACATAAAAGCAATTTTACACATGACATACCTAGGAAATCTGAGTAAGATCTTTTGGAACAGAGGAATCTTTTCTCCTACTGACCTTCAATGCCCAGATTGAGGTTCATTCTCATGATTTAGGAAAAGCTCGAAAAAAGGTCACTAAAATTGCCAGAGATCACACAACCTAGCTTCATGTTTGAAACAACAAAAACTATGCTTTACCATTTCACAAAAAGTTTAAAATCAAATATTAGTACCTTGAGAAATTTTCAACTGTGCCATGGTCAGCTTAATGTCAGCTGCATTTTCTGGATGCTGATCTGAAAATTCCTAAAATATTTTCAGTTGGAGAAAAAAGTCACAATTAATCTACACAACTGCAGTCATTAAAATTACTCATCTCAACTAAATAAGATTTTTAAAGTATTAAACTTATTTCAGGTTAAAATCTTAACTTGGAAAAAAATAATTTGGGGGGGTACTGGGGATGGAACTCAGAACCTTGCACTTGCGAGGCAGGTGGCAGCACCACTGAGCTGGATCCGCGGCCCTGGAAAAAATTTTATTTGACATCTGTTTTGCTTTAAATAAGGTATGTTCTGAAAGTATAATCTATTAGCAAATTTCCTGGAAGTCACTTACAAAGAAACAATAAGGACTACTACATAAACTTTTTTTAAAGGAAGACATTCAAAGAGTGCCTCCTTATTGAAGGTCCTTGATAGGCAACTATGCCTCTCAGGATGGTCCTAATTATTACCCCGCTAAACTTTCCAACATAGTCTCTACTCAAGAAATTCAAACATGTAATATTAGCAGGAGTGAGTTAATAAAAATTAAGTATCTCCACAATTGCTTGAGATTTTGGAGTAGGTAGGATTTGCCAGAGAATACACTATTGAGACAGAAGCTTTAGTACTGGTATTATAAGCCTAAAACCAGGCCCTAACTCATATTAAATGCATCATCATGGGCTAGGATTTGGCTCGGTGGTTCTGCTGCCTGCCTCGAAAGCGCAAGGTCCTGAGTTCAATCCCTGGTAACAAAAAAAAAAAAATGCACCATCAAATGAAAACATTCTTTAAGGCTAATGTAAATCTATATAAAACAAAGCTATAACTTAAGGATTAACTAAAGTGACACTGGAATTTATCTAGTGGTAGAGTATCTATTAGCTTTCCCATCAAACTTACAAGTTTACAGTATAGTATAAGGAAATGAAACAAGGGTGCCTGATACACTTCATTAAAAATTCAACAATAATGTCTTTACCTGAAGCAGCTCTATTGCTTTTGTGTGCTGCTTTTCCCGGCAGAGCTGGGCAGCTTGGATTAACACAGGCAGGAGGTGCTCAGGACTTTGGGACTGTAAACCAGTAGATATTTTGCGGCATTGCTCTGCCTAGATGTTTCCCCCGAACACAAAAATAAGAGTTAGTGAAAACTGAACACTAAATAACCAAAAAGGAAAGAAGACTGGCGAATCAGCTGAAATAAAATAAAAGGTGAAGATCTGCAGAGAATCAGTTTAATGTATCCATTCTCAATTTTTTCTTAAAAGAAAAAATTTCCACTTCCTGAATTTAAATTGAGTTCTAAAAACCTTTAGCAAGTTCTAAACATTCACTTGAATGTCTAAATTCCAGATTTAAAAAAAACACACATCAAGTATTAAAAACCACAAGACATAAATATTAATAACTTGACTCAGTTTTAAATAATAAAAACATTACTGTCTCACTCTCACTAAAAATTTATATTCTAGACAAGTATGAATGTTGAACTAGAATGCATATATTAGAATTAGAACTAATCTCTTTAACATTCATAACTTGTGATTATGGCCAACTAAAATGGAAAGGATCTTAAATCTATAATTATGACTGGCATCTTTGATGATTTTAATCCAGATTAAAAATAATGAGAAAGTCATCTCTTTAAAGGTGTTAGTACTGTCTTCTCTTAAAATTAGTCATTAACCTATGTTACATAGAATTGGGCAAATTATTTCTTTAAAAAATAGAATCTATGACACACGATACTCTAAAGAAGGAAGATAAAATATAAACAAAAAATAAAAATAGTTTAGACTAATATACCCAATATGCCTCATATGCCATACAAAGGGTTTAGCCAAGGAACCAGAGGTGTATTACCTACCTGGTTTGTGTACATAGCAAGTAAAGCTTTGTTAAATTCTATAGCTTGAAGTTGTTTCTTGGAAAGCTTAAACTCTACTCCTTCTGCGTTGGTTAATTTCACCTTCTTCTTGGAGTCAAAGACGTTTTGGTCCTGACCAAAAAAAAGTTTATCCACCATTAACAGAATATCTAATTTCAACTCTTGTGTGACCTTACTTAGTTATTTTATATAAACACAAGAGAGCTTGGATATATCTACCTAGTTGGGCTCACTAAACTAATAAAATGCAAATAAACTTGTCTTGGGTTCTTGGTTCAATATAAAAAACTCTCTGCAATTCAAATCCACCAGTGTCCATATTTTTATATCATAATTTAGCCCCACTCCTCTTCTGGCGTTCTAAAAACAGGATTCCTCTTTGTAGGTATGAAAAGGTAATGTGAGCTGCTTTGAAGGGGAGAACAGGACTTCTGTGTTATGTTTCCACTGTTAACTGCTTGTTTTGAGCTTTACCAAGGAAAAAAGTATAGTAAATATTATTGTATATCAGGACTACAAATATACCTGTGTAATTTCTCCAAGCTATGCCCTTTAGAATTTAGATGATAAATTAAGCAGCCTATTCTTTTTTTCCCCAGTACTGGGGATCAAACTCAGGACCTTGCACTTGCAAGGCAGGCGCAGCGCTAAATTCCTGGCCCAAGTAACCTATTCTTGATTGAAATTGTCACTATATTAAGTAAATCATTAAACAATTTTCAGAAATATTCACACTACTCTGGAACCCATCCATGTAACACCTCTTCTGTTTTCCTGTTCTAAGGCCCTTCTTGTCCATTAGGGAGAAACACAAAGAAGCTCAATTTCTGAAATTTCTGTGTAGGGCAAACATTATTACCTGCTTAATGGAAGTTCTGGTAAGAATTACAGAAAATCACAAGCCTCTCAAGAAAAGGAGACAACTAACTCACACTGCATTCTTAGGACAAACTAAGCACTTGAATATCTACTAGTCAGCCTTATAAAATGATATAGTTACTTACAAATAGGTGCTTTGTAAAATAATGTATTTACTTGCAAATAGGTGATACGACTTTTATTTTTTTCATCAGCACTGAGGATTAAACCACTTTTACATCCCTACCCTTTATATACTTTTTTAAAGTTTTAAGACAAAGTCTCACCAAGTTGCCTAACCTAGCTTTGAACTTGCAATTCCCTGCCCCAGGCTCCTGAGTAGCTGGGATTACAGGTGTGCACCATCATGAACAGCTAATAACCACTTTTTAAACCAAGTCTTCCACTAGTTTAAAAACAAAAAGCAAAGAAAAAGTCTAAAATAAATTCTACTTTTTCTGAGTGTGCAGCATGAAAAGCAGCCTGAAATTGAGCATAGTGGCACATACATGCAGTCCCAGATACTTGGTTAAGACAGTGTCTCACTATGTAGCCCAGGCTGGCCTTGAATAGCCTCCCAAAATGCTGGGATTACAGGCACACAGCATCATGTTGGCTATCTCAGCTACTTAGGAGACAGAGAAGGAGGATGACCTGAGCCTGTAAGTTTGAGGCCAGCCTAGACAACAGTGAGATCACATCTCCAAACAAACAAAATCAGAACAATAAATGTGAAACTACTTTAAAGTACAGCAAAAAACTGCCTTTCATATAATTCAATCCTCAAGAAACCACATTTTCAAGCTGGAGGTGGTGGCACATGCCTGTATTCCTAGCTACTCAGGAAGATGAAGCAGGATTGTTTGAACTCAGGAACTTAAGAGGCCAGCCTAAGCAATACAGCAAGGCCCTGAAAAAAAGAAACTAAATTTCTAGGTTTATTCTCTTGTGTTACTGCTTTATACTGTAATTCTTCATGTACAGCAATGCCAGATTTGGGCCGGGGATTTAGCTCAGTGGTTCCAGCACCTGCCTTGCAAGCACAAGGTCCTGAGTTCGATCCCCGGTACCAAAAACAATCAAACAAAAAACAAAGCAATGCCAGATTAAACTTTGCCATGACACTTAATTTTCAAAGGCTTCCTAGACCTTGACATCACTTAATCTTTTTTTAAACTATGTAACATCTATGCATCTTATTCTGTTTCCTAACTATAACCCACAAATCATAAATATTTCTTCATACAGCCATGTTTATTTTGTTGCTTAACCTGTAAAACCATATTCTCTAAGGGTCAATTTAAATTTGCCAAAAAGAGCTTCTTCCTTTCACAAGATATGATTTACAAAGTAACTTGGATGTGGTGGCACACACCTGTAATCCCATCACTCTGGGAGGCTGAGGTCGTAGGATTACAAGGTTGCCCAGACCAGACAATTTAGTGACTTAGTGAGACCCTGTTTCAAAATAGATGGATGTAACTCAGTAGGAAGGCCCTGGGTTCAATCCCCAGTATGGGGCATAGAAATAGAGGGTGGGTTACAAAGTATACAGATAAATGTAAATGTGCCCATTTTTTCAACACCAGAATGAGATTTTAAACTACGTAATAATTAAGACTATGTTTCTAGGGCCGGGGATTTCGCTCAGTGGTTTCGCTGCCTGCTGCGCAAGTGCAAGGACCTAAGTTCGATCCCCCGTACCAAAAATAGTTTCTTATTTCTTTTACATTACCTCCTGCATCTAGTACTATTCTGAATATAAAGTGAGAGGGCTGAGAGTATATAGTTCAGTGTTAGTGTTTGGCTACCATATGCGAGGCCCTAGGTTCAATCCCCAATAACAAAGGAGGTGATGATTAGAAATAATTTCTAAATTGATAAAAATTCAATGATTAAATTTAGATGGAGATACTTATTTAGTATTTCACACAGTCTTTACTACACCTATGTATCAGATAACAGGGATTTGTTCTGATAAAGATTTCAAAATTCATAAACATAGGCAGGTTCATATTTCTTTTTTTTTTTTTTTTTGGTACCGGAGATTGAACTCGGGAACTTGCACCTGGCAAGGCAGGAGCCAGAACCACTGAGCTAAATCCCCGGCCCATCAGGTTCATATTTCTGCACAAATTCAAATGCCAGTGCCAATGTTCAGAAACCTAATGTTGGCCCAATGTTTCTTTTTTTGGTACTGGGGATAGAACTCAGGACCTTGCGCTTCCGAGGCAGGCAGAGGCACCACTGAGCTAAATCCCCAGCCCCAGAAACCTAATGTTAATGACTACCCCTTTAATGGCACTATTTCACATCTGAAAACCCTCAGCACTTCTGTTATCAGAGAAGTATTACAAAGGAGACGCTCTGCAGTCAAACATTAGACTCTAAATACCACTTCTACCTTTTACTATGATCTTATACAAATTACTCAACTTCTTTCATACTCAAATTATAGTGCTATAAACTGGAGATTAGAACTACCATCTAAAAAAAGATTACTGTGGGGACAGAAGATGGCACCTGAAAATTCACATGACATATCAAGAGAAATCAAATGTTAGATACTTTTCTTATTTTCTTGACTTGGATTTCAAATCTGAACTTGAAATGTTTTTCCATTAACACAATGTTCCAAATGTTGCTTCATCTGATTAGCACAGTACACCAAGTAAGGATAGCCTATAGACCTACCAGTAATTTAAGAGGACACAGCACTTGTTCATGCCTCACTTCCCCCTCAAAAAACTCAGAGGAAAATTGAAAATTTGTACTTTCAGACTCAGCAGATGAATAAATCATTTAAAGCATTTATACATTTAAAAGTTCAAACAAGTTATATCTTTAACAAATAAAATCTCCATACTACTATAAACTGGGCCAAGAGGAGTATTTTAAAGTCCAGAGTTTACAACTAAAGTTTTATAACTTGAATATGCACTGCAAAATCATCAACATTATGCAAGTTAAATAATTCTCTAAATTGTGATTTTGCTGCATTTGAACTTTTTTTTCTGTCATGAAAAAAGGACACTTATAAGAAAAGTTGGAATAATCTGTTCATCATATAAAATATATGGAAAGTCATGGATACTCCATACCTTATTAATAGTAATGATGTTATTTGCAATTACAGCTAGTAATCCCACATCTGTTGGCCTGTGAACAAGAAGCAGTAGTTATAATTTGACAAATCTTTAAAAAGAAGCCTTATCTCCTCTAAAAGGTATTTCATTTCTAAAGCTCACTTACTTCAGTTTTATTATCTGATTGTAAAGCTGCAAAGCCTCCTCTGTACGACCCTGAAGCTGCAGAATGTAGGCCATCTGACCATGAATGATGGCCAGTTCTGTCTGTGGGTCTTCCTCCGTTCCATCCTAAGCAGAAGAAACATTTTTTTCCTGTACATTTTCCAAACTGATCTACTTATTTTACACCAAGTGACACAAATATATAAAAGACATACAATCCTCAATTATACAGTAATTTCAGGAATTTCCCCGTGAGTTAGTTCTTTAAAATTTAAAACTGGCAGACAAGAAATATTTTTGATATTCTGAATAGTGGATTAACCAAATCAATCAGCTATATGATAGAAGTAACAAATAAAAAGCAGCCTCAGAATGCTTACACCCAAAATAGGGCATTTGAAATTAAAGTTCCTTTTCAGACATTTCAACTACTAATGTTGCCATTTAGATGCTGTGGAAATAAAAATTTAACTTTGAAATATCAAAAAAAAAAATTAAAACTGGTACCAAAAGAGAGTTAAATTTAAGGGAAAATGCTAAAAAGATCTTTAAAGAAGATGACAACAAACTTGGGAATACCATGTATTGGTCACTATTACTTCCAAAACTCAAGAATGAAAAAATAATGTAAAAAACCCACATGCAAGCTTAGCTTTTTACAATATCCCTAAGTTCTAGAAATATAATTTTCTCATAAAAACATATTTGTAAGATGCTTCTTTGTCAATTCTACCATAACTTTAGCCAAAATTTATAAAACTCTAATACTCTTAAAAAGAACTTCAAAAGTTGGAATTCTATAATTAATTTTGTAATTAACTCTGTAATCAGCTCTCTTAACTGATGCTCCAGATGAATCCATTCTCCAATGCTCTTAGAGGTTAGCTGACGATACTCATCACGTATGGTGAATGCTCAAAGCTAGGTGAATGCTCTTATTCTTACCAACCTAGCACCCTGGGGCTAACCTGGTGCATGCTGACCAGAAGTCATGTTTGTACCCAAACATATTATGCCAATTATGTTTGATACAGAAATGGTAAAACTTAAAACATTATAGTAAAAGATGAACTATGAAAAAGAGACTTGTTTTAATGTCAACCACATGCAGAATGGTCAGAAAGATTTGCTAAAGGCAAGTTCCTACAGAAAATTACTGTCGATTAGATATGAGCCAAAAAATGGTGATTGATGAGTTAACACCTATTGGGTCGGGGATTTAGCTCAGTGGTGCTGCTGCCTGCCTCCCAAGTGCAAGGTCCTAAATTCAATCCCCGGTACCAAAAAAATTAAAAATAAATTTTAAAAAAGCTAACACCTATTAAAGCTCTGGAATCAAACTGTTTCATATGTTGAAATATTGTTATTCTTACAGAAAAAAAGAGTGGACATTAGGAATGCTGGATTATGTGTGGATTTTGTTAAGAAACGCACGTGGAATTCCTGTGAGTGGATCTGTAGTCAAAGACCTTAGTCCCATATCCTTAAAACCAGAAGAATGAATTTTTATTTATATTAAGATAAAATGCTTATGGTATTGTTATTTCTCACCCTAATAAACTTCACCAAATAACCAACCATGGGTGTTTCTAATATGATTTCTATGGAATGAACTACCATCTACTATAAAAAGTTGATAAACAGTACAGTGAAACTTCCTACTAACTATATTAGAAGTATAAAGCTTGGGTTTAACAATAGCAGAATACTTACAGAGTCTTCGGAAAATGACTGGCGGCAAAGATCTATAGGAAAAAAATTGTTTTAAAATTAGTATTCCTGGGTAATTCCCATTCCTTTCATCAAACTGAAGAGCAAGAACTAAACTGAGGAAATATTAAAATAATCTTTTTTTTTTTGGTACTGGGAATAAAACTCAGGGCCTTGTGCTTGCCATTAAAAATAATCTTATTAACAAGAAAATTTAAAATTTACATTAGCATCACATATACCATAAAAATATTATTGGTCCATAGCTGGGTGTGGTCGCTCACTTATAATACTAGCTCTCTGGGAGGCTGAGACAGGAGGACTGAAATTCGAGCCCACCTGGCCAATTAGAAAGACCCTATCTCTAAGCTGGGGATTTAGCTCAGTGGCGCTGTGCCTGTCTCACAAGCGAAAGGTCCTGAGTTCGATCCCGGGTACCAGAAAAAAAAGAAAAAAGAAAGAAAGAAAGAAAGAAAAAAAAGACTTGGTCTAAGACGGTATCTCTGAAAGAAAATAAAAATTTGGGAACTAGGTAGAGATGTAGCGCAGTGTGAAGACTCTGGGTTCAATCTCTACTAATCCGACCATACACTAAAAAATAAAGTATGATAAAATTAAACAGGTCCCTGATTATCAATCTCTAGCACTTTTCCTTTCATTTGTATTCTCTATGCTAACATTTTTTGAAAGGTCATTAAAAAATATATGTAAATGTAATAACTGTTGATTGCAAAACATAAATTACAGAAAAACAAATAATCCCACCACCTAAACACTGCTAGAAGTTAAGCTATTTAATATTACATAAACCTGCATTTGAAAATCAAAGTGGAATATTCTACATACTGTATTAACTCTCTCTCCCACTTAATATACTATGGACATCTTTATGTTATATAAATATGGATGAACATTATTTTTTACATTTTTAATTTTAATTACAGCATGGCAATCTATTTTGGGATTACAGTAAATTGTAGTCAATCTTTCAATGGCATAGAAACTTATGCTCTAAAATTTTGTTCATATATACCCTTTTAATTAATATTCATAGATACATACATGAATTTATCAAATTATTTCTTTAAAATAAATTTCTAGAAATAGAATTCAAGGATCAAAGACTATGCAAACTTTTAAATCTTACACATCACCAAATGATGTGAACTCTGGACTACTTTTACACTCAAGCCTGCATGGTGTGAGAACGCTCTTCTGTACCACTGTCAATACTGGGCATGATCAAGAAATTTTCTTTTTTTTTGAGACAGGGTTGTACAGGTTGAACTTGGACTACTAGGTGCAAATGACTGTCCTGTTTCAGCCTCCCAAGTGCTGGCACTAAGGCACATGCCACCACAACCAGTAAAATTTTATTTTTTACTTACTTACTTGTGGTGCTGGGGATCAAACCCAAGGCCTTAAGCATATTACGCAAGTGCTCTGCTGAGCTACATCCCCAGCCCCTAAATTCTAATCCTTAAAAAGATTTTTCTTTTCATGATGCTGTGATATTTATTTTAACCTTTAAAATTTAAGTGTTCAAATGGGAAGGGGAACAAGGGAGAAGGGAGAGAGGAAGGAAGGAATAAGAGAAAAAGTGAAAACAGAAAGAAAAAATGGAAAGAAAGCTTTTGTACATAGGGAGGGGAGGAGGCTTGAGGGGGAGAATGGGATAAAATAAAATTTATTTAAAAAAATTTAACAGTAAAGCAAACCCCATTTCACCTCTTTTTTTCATTCCCCACCATTCACACAAGTCCCTATAACATCATTTTTATAGTTTCCCCAGATTATGTATACAGAAGAGAAGTCTAAATGTTTCAGGAACTGAGACCAAACACAAGTTTCATTTCATTTTATTCTCTTCCCTCCTTCATTCCTTCTTTTCCTTCACCATTTGTGGTGCTGGGATTTAACCTAGGGCCTGTGTATGCTAAGCTCACACTCTACCACTGAGCTACACTCCCTAACCCCCTTTTTTCCTTAATTAAAAGGTTTAAAGCATGTAAGGATTGTATGTAAAAACACACTAGAGTTAAAAATGTGCTTGAATGGTTCTATGAATACATAAATGTGTATGCTGTGGATGCATGCACACATACGCTGAAGCATACCATATTAACTACCATAGTAGAAATGATAATCAAACAGTTCCTTTTGGTACCAGAGATCAAACTCGGGAACTTGCGCTCGTGAGGCAGGTGCTGGAACCACTGAGCTAAATCCCTGGCCTGTTAACAAATAGTTCTAATAACTAATACTGAATGTTTTACTGTATGTCTTGTACTGCTGTAAATGCTTGACATTAATTAAATCACTTTATTTACATATAACAATCATAATAGTTTGCTCAAAAAGCTAATCCTCAACGTTCAAATTTTAAGGTGGAGTAAACTGAACATGGACAAGTGGACTGCCTTACTGATGAAACTGAAAAGAGATAAAGTCAAAAAGAGAGAGTCTAGATGAACTCTGAATAACTCCCACTGCCTTAGTACTATTTCCATTTAAGAATTTCATAGATATCAAATGCAATTTTTGGAGGTACTCTGCAAGTTGTATCCACATTATGGCAACAAACTTAACAAACTTCCAACCTTCAGCTTTTTGTAGGATTTTCATTGCCTGGTTCAGCTGGCCTTGTCCAATCAGTGCACAGGCGGTGTTGTAGCACAGTTCGTGGGTGCCTTCTTGGAGGCCCAAGTTCTCCTGTCATGGAGCAGAACACCAGTCAAACACCAGGCACGAGGATTATTCCATGGCTGCATGGGTGCATGAGAATACTCACTGGAACCACTTTTTCCCAATTGCTTTGAGCTGCAACAACTGCTGAAAGGTTTGTTTTCCTCTCTTCATCATAATCATCTTGGGAGTTTCGCACGAGATCTCTATACACAGCTAAGCATTCATCATAGCGTTCCAAACGGTATAACTAAGCAAAAAAGTGAATAAAAAAAAAAAGAACACTAATACTAGTGTTATATCTCTAATGCCATACTAAGGTTCTGGGGAATCACTAAATAAGAAATCTAATTCACCATAATACAGGCCATCATGTTTATCTTTTATAATTTTTAAACTAGTTCTGTGTGCTAAGACACTTTAAAAAACAATGCATCTTTCCTGTGTAACAGATTTGTAAGCATTATTCGAGTTAGAAAAGTAATTTCTAGACCCAGGCATGGTGGGAGGCTGAGACAAGAGAATCTCAAGTTGGAGCTTGGCATGAGTGACTTAGTAATTAGTGAGACCTTGTCTCAAAATAATGGTGTTATAACTCAGTGGGAAGTGGGAAGGCCCTGGGTTCAATTCCCAATACAGTTTAAAAAAAAAAAAAAAAAAGGAATTTCTTTCACCTTCCTTCTTGAAATCAGTAAAGTACCTAGTTTGTGAAAAGAAAATTTTCTAAGAAATCTATTGTTACCTGAATCTGAATTACAATGAAAAAATTTCCACAATACAAAATTACTAATCCCCAGTAAATAAGAACAAAATTAATTAATGTCATAATTACTATTTTATAGGAATTCATTATATATAATCTTTTCTTCTGTTTCTCAGAATCAGCTATGGTACAGAATAATCTCAAAAACTCATAATCCCTGCTTATTCATTCAAACTGTTCTTTTTTCTCTTTTTTAAATGGTGGCAATGTTTCACATTTATTAAAGGTAGGAAAAAATCAGAAAAATAGGGGGAAAGAATGGGCTCTGCAGAGGGAGTCTGGGTTGAGTAAAAAGGGAGGAAAAAAATAAAACTAAAAAATATACCCTAGAGTGTAGGGTGGGCTTTGTGAAGAGCCTATTCAAGCTATTCTTTTTTTTAAAGAGGCATGAGAAGGATTTATTAGAGATACATATAGGACACACATAAGAGCACAGCGTGGGTGCTCAAAGAAATGAGGCACAATCCAGTTGGACACTGGGGATCTTTTACATGTTTTAGGAGGTGGAAATCTGTGGAATTCAATAATCTATAGTCTTAGTATTGCTGGGCTTACAGGATAGGAGAGGATGGCCTATCCTTAGTGAGCTACTTTTCTGGGACATGCCAAAGGGTGGTCCATTTATGGGGTGAAAGTGGACCATGTGCAAGTAAAAAGGAATGGGCAGATCTGTTTACAGCTGAAAGGAAGGTGCCCAGGTTTGTAGTTTGGGAGAAGGAAAAAAAGTAAATAAACCAGGTTTGTGTTCTGAAGCTACAGTTTTTCTTTAAACTATAATTTTAAAAATTCTGATTTCCTCGTGTCTTTTCTACCTTTTATTTCTTCTGTCCTACCTTATTTCCCCTCTCTGAGACTTCGTTCCCTTATTCTTAAGGGGTTGCAGAATTAAGCTGTTCTTAAAGAACAACAATTACATCTCTTGGTTAATCTGTTTATGTACAACAGAGATTGGTGCCCTTCGTCAACACTGAAATTTAACCAATTTACACATTTCTGCCCTCTCATCAATAGTAGCCTTATTTTATTTTGTTTCATTTTTAAAATTTATTTTTGAGACAGTCTTGCTACGTAATTCAGGCTGGCCTGGTAATCACTATGGAGCCGAGGCTGGCCTCACACTTGAGGTGATCCTCCTGCTTTAGCCTCCCAAGTGCTGGGATGACAGGCATAAGCTACCACGCCTAGCTCAAGCTTCATTTTATGTCTCAAAAAGAATATTTAAAAAAAAGAATATTTATTTTATGGGATAGAGGAGACCACCAAAATATGGATCAACCATGATTTTAAACTTAGAATTAAAATAGTTAAACACTAGAAATAGTTGCAAATCTTTATAAATATATAAGCTCACTAGCCTCCATCTTTCTAACTAAAAAGGTCAGATTTCATAGCTCTTTTTTTCTTTGTTATTTTTGAGACAGGGTCTCACTATGCAGTTTAGGCTGGCCTTGAACTCACTACATAGCCCAGGCTGGTCTCAAACTCATGGTGATCCTCCTGCTTCAGCCTTCCTAGTGCTGGGATCACAGGGCACTACATTTGGCTAGTTCTTTAATTTTCTAATTACCCCAAATAAGTGGTTTGTTCATAGACTCTGACATATACCACTTATACAAATATACAAACATATACAAATGAAGATCAAAAGGCATGCTAGGCATGACTGTAATCTCAGCTACTTGGGAGGATACAGAAGGATTATAAATTTGAGGCCAGCCTCAAATTTGCCAACAATTTAGCAAAACCCTGTCTTAAAATAACAACTTTTTTTAAAAGGGCTAGGGGTATAGCTCAGTGGTATAATGCCCTTGGGTTTGATTCCCAATACTGGAGGAAAGAAAATGTTCAGACTTCAAGAACTTGTTTGGTGGCTACTTTTGTGGAATTTCAGGATGGGCTGGGTTTCCTCACCCTTGACCAAACTAGAGGAATGCTCATTCAGGATGATGATGATCAACAGGTGTTTTAAAGCAATACTCACCACTTGTCCATACAGCTCTTTTAGCTTGTCTGTCTGCTGGTTGGCACTTTCTATTGTTTTCAAGGCATTTTCAATTCTGTTGAGCCTATACTCACAATATGCCTTCTCAAAGGAGAGAGAGTTACTGAAGAAGAAAAAATAGCTGATCATTATCTCCATAAAATAGAAGACTCACTCTATGCCAGATCCTGCTCTAAGCACCTGGGATGTATTAGTTTATTCAATCCCTACAATAGATAAGGGAACAAAGGTTAGTGACTTATCCAAAAATCACACTGGTCCATTAAGTGCCAGAAAATATAAATCCATTTCCCTAGCCTCTCCTCTTTTCATAAATATTAAGAGAATTATTGACCTTTTGAAAATAACACTGAGGAGGGTAATTATGAATCAATAAAATAACCAACTACCTTAGAAACAAGGATAATCTGAACACTTAAATGGCTATTTGTTTAATTCCTTAAGTCCACTAATAAAATAGCCAGGTGTGGTGGTGCATACCCAGCACTCTTGAAGGCTGAGGCAGCAGGACTGCAAGTTCTTGACCCAGCCTGGGCAATTTAGCAAGACCTCGTGTCAAAAAAAAAATAAAGGGCTGGGGACATAGCTCAGTACAAAGGCCTCAAATTCAATCCCTAGTACCACACACATTTTTTAAAAAATCTATTAATAAAATAATAGGCTTTATGATGCTCCTTTTAATTTGTTCAAGAAGCAAATGATTAGCAAATAAAAAATAAGTAAAAGAACACAATACTTGTAATCCAACAACTGGTAACTACACAACTAAGAAAAGCAACGTTTATAAACTGAGCATGGTGGTGCATAAGGCTGAGTCAGGAGGGTGGCAAATTCCAGCCCAGCCTAGGCAACTTAATGAGACTTTGTCTCAAAATAGAAAATAAAAAACTAAAAAATTAAAACAAACAAATCATTTTGAAGTTTCAACCATAACCTCCAAAGGAAAATATCAAACCAAAGAACAATATTTTACTGACCTAACAAATTTTTGAGAAAATTTCCTATCTCACAAAATCCAGCATTTTAAATTTTAGCATAAACATGTTTGATAACAGAAAGCAGCATTCCTTTTATTTTTACTTATTTTTCTGGTACTGGGGATTGAACTCAGGACTTTGCCCTTGCAAGGCAGGCACGGCGCCACTAAGCTACATCCCTGGCCCTCCCTTTTATTTTTAATAAAGTTGTGAATTAGTTTTCAGTTGCAATATATGTGTGTGTGTGTATATATATATATGGCTCAGGTATATGAAAAGATAGACACTAATGTTTTATATCTATTGGTATCCAAATCCAACCTGCTCCTCTCAATTTCTACAAGTGATTTTTTAATCAGTTCTTTTTCTTCTTGTGTTTTTGCAAATACAGCACATATGTAAATCTTATAGCCTCCTCCTTTTAGAAAAGGAAGTATATTATATACTATTCTCTATAAGCCATAATCCCATTAAAGAATAAATATGCTGCAAAGCTAATCCTGATACTTATTTCTTCTGGGGCTAAGTCACAACTGTAAAGAAAAGTTAGCTGAGTGTGCTGCTACACACCGCAGTCTTAGCTATTGGGAGATTATGGCAGAAGATCACTGAGCCCAGGAGTTCAAGCCTAGCCTGGGTAACACAGTGAGAACCCATCTCAAAATAAATTGATTAATCTGAAAAAAAGAAAAAAAAAAGGAAAATCAGGGCTGAGGATTTAGTCCAGTGGTTCCACCACCTGCCTTGAAAATGCAAGGTCCTAAATTCAATCCCCGGTACCAAAAAAAAAGGAAAATCAAAGCCAACCGTGGTGACCCATGCCTGTAATTTCACACTCTGGGAAGCTAAGGCAGAAGGATCAGAAGTTGGAATTCAGCGTGGGCAATGCAGTAATATCTTACAAGTTAAAAACAAAACAAACAAACACCAAATAAAAAAGGACTGGCATATAATCCCTAGTATCAAAAGTAAAAAAAAGACCAAACTACAGTAACAATTCAGAATATAAATTTACATTCTGTGAAATGATAAATGAATTCTTAAAAACTGCTATATAAAGACTGTTAAAGAATTCCTTTTACTGAAAGTTCTTGGGCTCAAATTATACTTACCTAAATAATTCTCCAAATTCTCCAAATCATTGTAGCCCCAGCTGTCCTCAAACTCATTCGAGGCACAGAGGCCAGGGTAAGACTGCCAAGCCATCCTAAAAAGCTCTCTCAACTTAGATGCTTAAATGCTCTATACTTACACATCTCTGCTTTATATTTTTTGCCTTTTGTATTTCTTTTTTTTAAACTTCTGCTGAGTTGTTATCCCTATATCCTACACGAAATCTTGTTACATTTAGGTCCCACATCTCTCTACAATTTACTTTATTCAAAATGAACACAGGGTGTGTGAGGGGAGTGTGCCTAAGGAAAAAAGGACAAATCTTACCATTGCTCCTACCAGTTTTAGAAACACTATTGTCAAGCAGAAGAAAAACAGAAGGAAGGAAAGGTAGGTCAAAAATCAGTGAACAGTGCCAGGAGTGTGGGTGGGTGGGGGTACACCTGTAACCCCAGCACTTGGGAGACTGAGGCAGGAGGAGGATCATGAGTTCAAGAACAGCTGGAGCTACTAGTGAGACCCTGTCTCCAGAAAAAAAAAAAAATCAGCAGAGATTATAGTTCTAATAAAAGTTTTTCTTACTGAATCACTTACTTGGCTAAAACTTTGGTATGCGTGTTGATGACATTCAAGGCTTCCTTGAAACTTCCATTCTGAATAAGGCAGACCACTTTACAGTGCAGGGCAGTTACATCATCCTTGTTGATCTGCAGTACTGGAGAACGATTTTAGGAAAGTCACTTTCACTGAATTTTCTTATTGCATTAGAAATGATTAGTCAAAAGAGTAAAACAAAAAACTCCTCACATATCTTTTTTTTCCCACCTTCATTTTAACTTAAATGATAATAAGGAGTTATAGATTAGATTTTCAGTGAGGAACAGATTCCAAAGCTGCAGGTACCAAAAATGTGCAGTGAAATACAAGAAAGAAGCTATTTCTCTAGTCTTTTCCGTTTAGGAAACACAGTACATCCAACATATTTCATTACTTCACAGGGAAAGTAAAAAGTTCATGTAGAATTTGGCAGCAAGTGACTTAGGAATAGTGTGAGCTTGCCATTAATGGCCTTGAGATCTTGGGCAAAATATTTAACAGCCAAATCTCAGTTTTCTATTCCACAAAATATGTCTGAAAACAAATTATTTTACAAGGTTATCAAGAACAGGAAATGAGAATATTCTGGAGGAAATCTTACACACTATAAAGTACAATACAAACACAATTTATCATGCTGCCAGTGTTTCCAAAATCATTCAAAATTCTTTTCCTGTAAGGTGACCAAAGTACAAGTAAGGACTCAAGTGACCAAGTTTCAGTGTTAACAGCTGTTCAGTGTCAAAATGACTAGGATCATTGTTGCCCTTGTTTGTGGGCAACTGAATCCAATTCACAGCCTGAGACTCAAAAGAATTTCTACCAATTAATATGTACTGAACAAAGTGGCAGCCGTTGCTGATTAAAGAATTCCTGCAAAATACTACACTGCTAAGTATGTTTACTGGTTGGAGGCCTAGCCAAAGTCTAAAGTTAATCCAAATAAATTTAGGAATCAAGCAATTCTAATTAGTATTTTTCTCAATGTCTGAAATGACCAAAAGCGTACTGTAGACACCATTACTCCTTTTCATATTAACTCAGCAATAGGTTGCTGAAAATTACACAGACTTGTATGTTACTGCCATACCTTCTATGCTACCACTGCTTTACAGAGCTAAGCTGTTTTGGTAATTACAGTCCAAGTCTAACAAGTACAGGTTGCATCTTCAGCAAAAAAGAACACAGCACAACTGAGAGCATTAAAATAATGGCCGCACTACAGTTACATATGTAAAGTATGAAATACGAGTTGAACTTCACACTGAAGGCTAGCGCTCTCATACACTTTTTCTGGTTAAATGAAACTGGGGAGATTTTATGTGTGGGGGTGACGGGCCCAACATACAAACCAGCCCTTCCCTCTCCCCTTGTCGAATCTGCACACCTTCTACCTAGGCAGCAGCAGCGTGTGAATTACGCGTCCCAGGCAGGTTACTCCCTCGGCCCTGGCCCCAGAGAACACGCTCCCTCGCCAATACTGTCATATTCACTACCAGAAGGAGACGTAAAAAGACAATCTGGCATATCTGCGAATAACGCAGTAGAGGAATCAAATAAAACAGTTTGGAAGAGACTTTGGGAGCTGCGGTCTCTTTAAATCCTCCTCCCTCGTGTCCTGCGGGGGTAAAGGGAAAGTACACGTGGCTCTAAGAAACCAGTGAGCCCAAATCGGCTGGTGGAGTGGTGAGGCTGCGACCCGCACCCTCCGGGCCTTGGGCCCGAGCCAGGCTGACGCGGGGGTCTCCTGTTCCGCGCCTCAACCTGAGGTGGTCGCGCGCGCCGGAAACAGGTGGCATCCTCCCGCCGGCCGGCCCAACCCCGTCGCCCGACCCAACACTTACTCTTATTGACGGTCTTCAGAGCGCGCGTGAAGTCGCCGTTCTGTCCGTAACGGTTCACTTCACTCCACAGCGCAGGCACCGAAACGCCCCCACTACTGCCGCTCGCCATCTTGGAGGAGGCGGGGCCGGGCAACCTCTGCCCCGGAACAGGATGCCCAAGTAGGCCGAGCGGAGGAGGAAGCTGGCGGTGGCTCAGCGTGCAGTGGTGAGTCTTCGTCTCCGAGTTAGTGTTGGAGAGGAGTGGTTTGTGTGAGGTCTGGGACACACCTTACTCAAAGGCGTCAGACTCGGGGGGGGGGGGGGCGGGGAAGGCGTGATGTTTCACCCAATAGTTTCAGTCAAAAGCAGCGTGTTTTTCTGGGCGACTGCCTGTGAATAAAGTCTATAAAGTGGTAAATAAAAAACGAGAGGGAGTCATGGGGGAGGAGGGGAGTCTGGGCTTTGCTGTGGTGATTGAGAATACCAAAAGGAGGAATTAGCATTTGAGATTTTATAAATGATCGGGGAACAATGGCCTGGTTGTGGGGAAAATGAGGGACATTCTGGCACAGAGATGAACTTGATGAAAGGTTCTGGAGAAAAAAAAAATTCAGTGCAAAAGCACATTTGGTGAAAATTTTTGGCTGCCCTTTTGGTATTAAGGATGATGAGGTGATTCTTTTGACTAGTTCCCTGATGGTAAACAAGTTACTCAACTTCTTGGGGTCTGTTTTTCCCACTGTAAAACAGGGATAAAATAGATGGGCGACACGCTTGTAATCTCAGCTCTCTGGGAGGCAGAAGCAGGAGGATCACAAGTTATAGCCCCGCCTGGTCAACTTGAGACTGTCTCATTGCGGGGAGGGGAGGAAATAAGATGAGCTGGGGCAAAGGCCCTGAGTTAATCCCTCAGTATCACCAATGAGTTTCAGTGATAAAAGATAATTCATGCACCTGACAGTCATAACACATATATACCCATACCTGTATATCCATGTACCCATGGATACACTTGATGTGACGGACATTTTTATTGTTCTACTCTGTAGATAAATCTCTTGTGATCATTACAACTCCTGTCACTTCCTCTCTCCCCCAACAACTTAACTCCTTTTCATCTTTGTATCTAGGGTCAAAATTTGCTTCTTAGAAGAAATTTTGCACTGGTCAACATTCTGATTACATTGTTATAAGGTGCTCTACTTCTGCTTTTGTGTGATAGATGTCCATGCTAGGGGATCATGCATGCAAGGCAAGCTCTCCAACATTGAGCTATAGCCGCAATTCAAGGCTCTGTACTTCTGAGCACTGATCATCCTTTAAGGCCTTTCTCACTCTGAATGGCTTATAGTTCTTTGATGCCAAGCCACCGTATTGACTTTACTTACAATATCACTAGAATCTAGCACATGACTTTTTTGAGACAAGGTCTCACTTTGTAGTTCAGGCTGTCCTTGAACTCACTATGGAGGCCAGGTTGCAAGGTTTCCTATGTAGTCCAGGCTGCCTTGAACTCAATATCCTCCTGTTTCAGTCTTCCAAGTGCTGAGATTACAGTCATGAGTCTGGCTCATAAATGTTTTATCAGCTACCTGGGTATCCTTTAGCATAGTCAAGTTGATACATGAAGTTAGCTATCACCTAAGTACTGAAAACTTATTTTTTATTAATATTTGGTTATTTATGAGGTGTATATATGATTTTTGAGGCATACTATATTAAGTTACTATCTTACTGTAGGACAGGCAGAAGAAATACTATTTAAGCACTTTTAGCTAGGCAAGGTGGGCATGCCTGTAATCCCAGCTATTCAGGAGGCTGGCCTAGGCAATTTAGTAAGAGCTGACAGAGTTCTTGTCTAGCTAGCATGCAGAAGACCCTATGTTCTCTTCCCAGTACTCCCCCTTTCCTCCCAAGTAAGCATCTTTAATGCCTTTCTAAGGATTTCTGAGCTGGAAATAGCATGGAGAATTTGTGGATGCTCTGTGGCAAATTACTCCCCATCTTGCATGTTTTCAGAAACTAGATCAGCTGATAGGAATATTGAATTCAGGGTAATTTTCATGGTGAATTAATTCCACTCATAAGTGACATTACAGGGCCAGGGATGTAGCTTAGTGGCACAGCGCCTGCCTGGCAAGCATAAGGCCCTGAGTTTGATTCCCAGTACTAAAAAAAAAACCCCAAACAAAAAAACCCCTCATAAGTGATATTACATAATACATTCATAAGCCAAGATACATTTTACGTATATTAAGGTCTTGCCATAACCTTTGTAATAAATTTTGGAAGCCATTTTTAAAAACAGCAATTCTAAGAATGTCTTTATTAAAAACTGCTTTATTTGGACAATTTTTCCTATTTTTGTGTTCATCTTCAAGCTCATAGTATAATCACCCAGAAGGCAAACTAGATAGGTTGTGTAGGTTACTTCTTACAGGAAATGTAATGAGTAAATGCTTTCAAGTACTCTTAGCACCAATGAATTATACTACTGGGGATATACTTATTGTACTAAGACACTGATGGTAAAACTGATAATGACCATGATAATGGTAAGTCCTATCATCTACCAGTCTAAATCTTAACTTAAAACTTTTTTATGTACTGCACAGAATTAGGTAGAATCATTGCTAAGTATGGGTAGATAGAAGAGGAAGTATCACTACTCAGACCAGAGACCCAGAGTTTAAAGATGTTAAAATTGTTTAAGTCTTAATTGTTCTGCCATAGTGCATAATCCATCCTTGCAAACTAGCATAAGATAGAAAATTACAATTCTCCAATCTCTAGCAGTTAGCCATAGTACATCAGAGTGTAATAGTGTATGGGAAATCAAGTGTAAAACTGATTTTTTTCTTCTTGGAACTTACAATTTAAGAGCAATTGTAGCAATTGTGGTTATGAAAGGTTTTATGGAAATAAAGCTCCACTATCTAATAAATAGATTTTAATGGTAAAATGAAGTCCTTCAAGGAAATAAAGGTATAGGTATATGGCAGTCAAAGGATTATGAAGAATACAGGTTCCCTTGATAGGTCACACCAGTGATTCACTTTGTATTTTTAGGGTTGTTTTTTTTTTTCGAGACAGGGTCTTGCTATGTAGTTCAGGCCAGCCTGGAATCACCAGCCCAGGCTGGTCTCAAACAGATGGGAAATTCCTGCCTCAGCCTCCTGAGTGCTGGGATTACAGGCGTGCACCACCTGCTTGGCACACACCAGTGCATCTTAACCTACGGACCACAAGTAGGATTCAAGGGAACCCAAGAATCAATTTTGTGGGTGCAAGTTCCTAAAGAGAGGGTCTTCAGGATTAATATTTTCAGAAGGATCCACAACAAAAAGAAATTAACTGTGGAAGTCTGGGTAATCACGTAAAGACTCGGTTGAGAATGAGGACCTTCTAAGGATCAGACTAGTATTGCATCTGACTGTCATTTGAGGCTCCTGCACAGAGGATCAGAGAACAAGGTAAATTCAAAGGTCAAGCAGAAATTAAAACTGATAGCCACAACCTGGTGCTGAGTGAGATGTAAAAGGTCAAAAAAAGGGGGCCGGGGATTTAGCTCAGTGATTTCGCCGCCTGCTGCGCAAGCGCAAGGACCTGAGTTCAATCCCCAGTACCAAAAAAAAAAAAAAAAAAAGTCAAAAAAACATAAAGGATGAAATCAAGTTTCTGACTTGGGACAGTGAGTATAATCAAGTTTAGGCTTGGTGAATAAGAATTAATTCGCAAGCATTCTGGTTTTTACACAAGTGCCCATGGGACAGATAGGGAAAAAATGTAAGTTTGGAAGCAGAGTTGGGAGTCAGTAATACTAATTTTATTAACATCTTCCACTCAGTATTAATAAACAAGAGAGAAACTCTTAAGAAATACCAGTACTTGTGAGAAACTGAAAGTGTAAATAAGGACTAAATGTATAATAGGTAATGTGAAATAGGAAGAAAAGGGGCAAAGGGGAAGGAAGTGGGAGGGCTAGGGGAAAGGATAGAAGGGAATGGGATTAATATGAGAAAATGGAAAAATAGGAACAAAATCTTTGTAAATAGGGAGGACTGGAGGGGTTGAAGGGAGGGCTGGGCAAGGGTGAAAAATAAGAACCAAGAGAGATTATGTAAAGGTGCAAATTTCCAATGATGAATGTCATTATATTGTATACCTAAAATGTACCAATGATTAGAATGAATAATCGAAAATGTAAAATAGGAAGAAAAGGTCCAAAGGGGTAGGGGTAGTGGGAGGGGCAGGGGAAAGGAAAGAAGGGAAAGGAAAAATGATGAGAAATGGAAAAAATGGAAATAAAGTCTTTGTAAATAGGGAAGGGTGGAGGGCGTGAAGGGAGGGCTAGGAATGGGGAAAAAATAAGAACCAAGATGCATCATGTAAAGGTACAATTCCCAATGAGAAGTGTAATTGTGTTGTATACCTACAATGTACCAATAAAAGAATTTAAAAAAATAAAATAAAAAGAAATACCAGTACTTGAGAGAATAGGTTAAAAGAAATGATCAAGAGTAAGGGTGGAATACCTTGGTGTTAGCTCAAAAAAGGAGTGGTGAGGCAACATACCCCAAAGGGATCCGATGAAACAAGTGGTAAGAGATGGCAGCTTATTAACAGTTGAGAGGTCAGAAAGTGTAGACAGTGTACGCCAGAGGGAGGGCCTTATCAAGATTTCATCTGTAGCAGAGGTTTTTAATATTTTAGGGGACATAGAACTCTATGGAGAAAATTATGATTGCCCCTTTCTTTTAAAAATGAACACAGAACTTTACTTTCTTTTTGGTACCGGGCATCGAACTCTGGTCCTTGCGCTTGCGCAGCAGGCGGAAGACCATAGAACTTTATATTCTCTGATTTTACAGGTTCTTAGATGAACTCACTGGCATTAATATTTGATAATAAAAGGTGGCTTCGATAGTGTCCCTTTGTCTTATTTTATGTTTTCCCCTAACCCCAGCATCAATCTCAACTTTCCTTACTAAAGAAAACATACCTATAACAGCATTAGGGAGACTGAGGCAGGAAGATTGAGAGTTTGAAAGCAGCCCAGACTGTATAAGGTTCTATGATACCTAGCTAGAGATAATGCAAATACACTTTATTTTCTGAGATAGTGACTATAAAAACAAAAACCATACCCTTAGAATTTGTAAAGACCATAAAATGAATGAGGATTATATTGCTCTTATCACCTAAGATATAACTGTTTTATCTTTCTAAAACTTACTGGTTGAGATATAGCAGGTCAAGTTATAACTTTAGAGCTTTATAATAGGATCTTATCTGCATTTATAAAATGTGTTTCTTCGATTATATTACCTACTGAACAATGATTATACAGTGGGTAGAAAAAACTAATCTTAAAATGTCCTTATATTAATTTTACTACCTTATACAGAAATATTAATACAAACATGTTCTAACTCATGTTATCTAGACGCATTTATTCATGTATCAATTTTGTTTTGTCTGATTCAAAATCATTTTTTTCTACTTTGCTTATTTTTCTGCAGCTAAACTAGAAATGTGTAGGACCTCCTCCCCACCACCAATAAAATGACATTTTTAGGAATTACATGCTCTGATTTTCTTGTCAGCCTGCTTCAAGGAAATCCATGTGTTCAGTATGCTTGCTCGCAGTTTGGCCCATACCAAGTGGTTGTTTAATCCAAATATCTGAGCAGCAAACTGAGCTGATCCTTCAGGAGAAAGTATGGTGGAACAGCCAAGACCTATTGGTTTGGAAAGGAAAAGACAGGAAATTGAGCTGTCAGTTAATAATGAAAAAATAACAGGGACGAAGGATGTACCTTAGTGCTAGGGCACTTGCCCTGCATTCATGAGGCCTGGAATTTAATCCCCAGTAGTGCAAAATAAACAAATAAAAGTCATAGTCAGAAAAGACCTGTTGGCAACAGACTATAAAAAGCTACCACAGAGGCCAGGGATTTGGCTCAGTGGTTCGGCCACCTGCCTCGAAAGCGGAATGACCCGAGTTCGATCCCAGGTACCAAAAAAAAAAAGCTACCATACTAATATAGTGGCTTGTCTAAAATAGGATCTGCAGAATGGTTTCTTTAATGTTGAAGTGGTAATATGACTGTAAAAGGACAAGTAGTATTTATCTGCCAGAAAGAGAGATTTTATATGTATTATCTATCACGCTTAGTGAATGAATCTACTTGCACAGAGATTTACTTTTTCAAACTTCTTTTCCCACATACTATTCCTTTATGTCCCTAGTGACAGGCCATAGAGTAAAACAAAGGACAAGGTAAACAGAAACACTTATTCTTAAACGAAATACGTTAATTGTTTTGATAATTTACTAGCTAATCTTTTTGTCTTTTCATTTGAATTATTGTAATGTTTTTTAAGCAGTAAAAAAAGTCAATTCCAAAGAATAATTTAAAATGTGTAATAAGATCTACAAGGCAGTAGCAAAAGGAAGTTAGGTCCTCAGCAATTATAAGTCTGCTCAGACAGACTTACAGGTGTAGTGTTACTGGAGTCAAAGACTACTGCTTAGTTTACAGATCTAAAAGCTCTAGTTTTCCTATATTTTTGGCATTCATCATACTTTTAAAATTTTTATTCTGTACAGTACTGGTGATTGAATCCAGGGCCTTCACACTCAACAACATCCCAGATCTTTTTGAAAGTTTTTGAGACAGACTCTTGCTAAATCATTAAGTTGCACCAGCAGGATTTGAACTTGAAATGCTGATTCAGCCTCCCAGAGTACAAGTGTGCACCTCCTCGCTTGCTGGGCTATGGCTCTGATGCTATTCACAATAAAAACAGACTATAAAGTATGGGCTGGGGGTACAGCTGAGTGGTACAGCACTTGCCTAACATGTATAAGGCCCTGAGTTTGATCCCTAGCACTGCAAAACAAAACACCAATGTACCAATCACGTTAATACAAATTTGTATTAATAAGTCAGTTTTGTCACTATGTGGCAGTGGCCACGTTGCTTAATGTTAATTTTCATATCCTTGTCTATAAAAAGAGAAGGATAATTAGTAGCTCCCTTATATGAGTTACTGACCATGTGCTTTGGGCACTGTCTGGCTTAAGGTAAATATTCAGTGATTGTCAAGCATCAGTATTTGCATACTGGATAGAGTGCTCTACTCTAATACCTGGAATAATGTGACTACTGCCCAGGTCTCCTTTTCTGATTTTTTTTTTTTTAAGCTTATCTAGTGAGCAGGTGTCAGAGAAAGTCTTCAGGATTTCACATGGGCCACTGTAAAAATCATTCTTCAAGGGCCAGGGATTTAGCTCAGTGGTTTCTGCCGCCTGCTGCGCAAGCGCAAAGACCCGAGTTCAATCCCCGGTACCAAAAAAAAAAAAAAAACATTCTTCAAAGCATTACCTCCAAATTGAGTGACAACAGAAAAATTTCCCAGATTTTCTCTCCCCTTCCACACTAATAGAAAAAAACTGCTGCCCAACTTTTGCTCATCACATTTCCCCTTTTCTAAATTCAATGGATAATACCTATATAGTTCCTCTGGTGTAAATTTGGTTAATAGCTTCATAGCTACAGATTTTTAAAGATTTAATAATTTATACTGGAACGTCTAGTTAAGGATCTAGTTAAAGATGCGTTAAGCACAAGATTTATCTCTGGAACCATATAAACCCAAGAGTAAAGGAAATAAAGAAAACAGGCATAAACATACAAGGACAACAATAGCAGTAGCATTTTGAGAGCCAAAAGGCAAATGAGGGAGTAATCAGCTTAGCAGAGGAGTGGGAGTGATAGTGGGACTACAGAGAAAAGGACTGACTGATACAAATCTAAGAACCAACTTTCCCACTTTACTTGATCAACAGCACCTTTAAAAGACCACAGCATAGTTTTCTTTATCTGAAGGTGAAGAAGACTTCAGATTTCTCTGGACTGGGGGACACCAGGCACAATTTAGATAAGGAATGCGGCCATGAAAATAGCTTACATTTATATGCCTATTCTGAGACACTCAGCCTCTCCCAATAAGATTCCAGAATTCTGGCAGCCAGGTCTATTCAACCAGCAAGAGCCTAAGACAAAAATTCTCTGATGATTTTGGGTAATACCTGAGAAAAGACCTTGACACTGATAGGAAGGGTTATTCAAAGAACAACTCCATAAGATCACCTCACAACAAAGTTGTTTCCAATGAGCTTTCTACAGTTCCTCACTAAAACTGAATTACCTGACAGTTGAAGGAAAAATTAGTAAGACTATACTAAGTTTAGAAAAAGGTGTTACTACAAAGATTAAACAAGGATGTTATAGAAAAAAAATCTAGAGAACAAAATAGGGCTCTTGGAAATGTAAATATGTTTTATTCAAATGAAAAACTCAATAGAAGGGCTAGAATGTAAAACTTAGAAAATATCCCAGAAAGCATTGCAATAGAAGGAAAATAGGATAGAAATCAAGGAAAGCCAAATTTGAATAACCCAAATATGAGGGGACAGAAAATGGAGGTTTAAGAATATTAAATAATTCAGTAAAATTCTCCATGACTAAAGAACTGAAGTATCACATTAAAAAACCCCACAAAGTCCACAGTAAAAACAGACCAAGGTACATCTGAGAAATTTAAGAACAATGCAGATACTAAAACATCTTAAAAGTTTAAAAGACCTAGAATTGGAATGGCACAAAAGCAATGGAGTTGCTCTTAAAATTCTATGGGAAAACGATTTTCAACCTATAATTCTATTCATAAACTATCAAAAAAGTGTGGCGTTCTAATAAAAACATTTCAGATACAAGATCTAAAGGTTTACATTTTGTACTCTTTCCTCAGGAAATTAACAAAGAATGTGCTTCAACATAATAAGAAGGAAACCAAAAGAGGGGAACACATGGGACCTAGGAAACTGGAGATCTAAGACTAAAGAAAAGCAAAACGTATCTCCAAAATGACACTGGAGGCAGATCCTAGGACAGCAGTGGTGCAGAAGGCCTAGAGAAGCCAATCTATTGGTGTCAGAGGTCTCAGGTACTTAATGTATTTGACACATATCAAGAGATTAACACAACTGAGAAAAGTCTGAGGTTTTAAAGATAAGGAAATCAGCTCCTACTGAAATAATATTGACTCAGAACTTGCAGGACATCAGATTATATCTTTGATTTTGATGAACACACTATAATAATGATATGAGACGCAGCTCCATCAGGCCAAAGATGACTTCCTTTTATGTCATTTACTTTTGACCTCAATTTTTAAAATTAAAAATTTTTCAGAAGTAACCATCACTTTTGTTTAAAACTCAATACCACTAATGGTATATTCTTTTTTTTCTTTTGGTTTTTTGGAGACAGGGTCTTGCTATGTACAATAGTTCAGGCTGGCCTCAGCCTCCCAAGTGCGGGGATTACAGGTACACACTTAGTGTTGTATTCTTGAAAAAAATAATCTGAACTTGACCTTACTACTGTACAAATCTTAACCCCAGCTTATAGAAAATACAGGGGACAGAAGAGCATGTTTACCATTACCAAGGAATGTAATAAACCATTGTGGAAAATTCTACAAGAAAAATGAAAGGGAAAAAAAGGTGAAGTTTTATAGATTAAATAAAACTCAAAAGATATTAACAAAACGAATGTAAGGACTGTGAAGCTCAATTTAAATATACCAACTACAAAAAAGTGAGAACCGAACATACTTGAACGTAAACTAGAAATAGTTTTAGAAATTATTACTGATTTTTTTGGGTGGTGAATACAATATCATGATTATGGTTTAAGAATAAACAAGAGTCCTTATCACTTAGAGATGCATACTGCAGTATTTAAGTAAAAATGTACCACAATATCAAAAATCTGCTTTGAAATAATTCAGCAGAAGGGACTACAAATGCAACAAAATAGTAATTGCTGGGCCGGGGATTTAGCTCAGTGGCTCTGCTGCTTGCTTCGCAAGCGCAAGATCCCGAGTTCAATCCCTGGTACCAAAACAACAAGAACAGCAACAACAACATAAACAAAAGAGTAATTCCTAAGGCTGGGGAATGAGTACATGAAATTTCATTATTCTATATAATGTTGTGTATGTTTGAAATTTTTCTAATACACGGTTTAAAAAATGTCAGTGTAGGCTGGACGTGGTGGCACACGCCTGCAGCCCCAGCACTCAGGAGGCTGAGGCAAGAAGATCGCTGTAAGTTCGAGGCCAGCCTGGGATACATAGTTTAAGATAAGCCTGAACTACATACATAGTGAGACTCTGTCTCAAAAAAATAAAAAAAGTCAGTGTGTCTTACCACTGGGTAGTCGAAGAGAGGACCACACATCCTGAGCTCCCCAGTCTGATGTGAGGGGAGGACAGCTGATAACTGGATAAGCAGTGTTACCAGCCATCACTGGGCCTAAACCATTGCTTCTGCCCGCCACTGCCACGAACACAGTTGGAATGCCATCCCCTAGGGAAATGAAAAGATTATCACTGGTTTATTTATTTATTTTTGATACCGGGGATCGAACTGGGGTCCTTGCACTTGCGCAGCAGGTGGTGAAACCACTGAGCTAAATCCCCGGCCCTATCACTGGTTTAAACATTACAAAGGACTGCCAGGTATGTTTTAAAAAGCCATCTATGTCTTAAACCCTTGAGTAGTCTTCCGTGGAAAAAGCATTAAAAATACACTGTTGTACATATTTTCAAAATATAAAGTTCACAAAAATGAAAAATGACACCAACGAACGGTATCTTTTCTGCCAAGCGATCTTTAAAATAGGGTGCAAGGAAGCTCATTTAATAGTGACTGGAGGTTTAGAGGCACTTCAAGAAACATGATTTGAGGGCAAGTTTAGTAGTATGCAGGAGCTGGGGGAGCAGCTTAGCATGCTTGAGGCCCTGGGTTCAATCACCAACACCAACAAGTAATTTGTGTGTGTGCAGGTATGTATTTTTAGACCCATATAGTTAATATCTCTAAAGCATTTCATTCTTTGGGAAAAATATATATTATCCCTTTGATTCCTAAGGCAAAGATTTATAGCCTAGAATCTAAATTTCACATATTTGCATTTTGTTAAGAGAAGTTCTAGCCTTCATTAGCTTATTAAAAGGGTCTGAGACTCAATCCTAACCTGCCCCTAAACTATTAACTTCACTCCTGTTGCAATCACCTTTAGAGTATTATCAGTCATCCTCCATTTCAGAGGTACCTACCTGGCTGTGAACCCAGGGTTTTGGTGTTTTAGATCAGTGCTATCTTTTTCTCATGTGCTACATTCTAAAACTGACTTAATTTCATGTCTGACTGCCTCCCATGAAAGGCTGGGCCATTAAATGAAGGACCCTAGTTAGCAAGACAGACTCCATATTGCTGCTTGACCCACCTGCCTGCCCTTTAGATGAACTCAGAAGGAGGAAGCTTAAAAACCTCCTCCCCTTAGAAAGTCTCTTTAGAAATAACAATTAATCAACTATTGTTTTACGAATGTTCTAACAGCAGGACATTCCGCTTCTGTACCTTTTGCTTGCTTTACTAGTTCTATCCCATAGGGGGCCCTCGAAACTGTTGGCCTCAAAGGTGTATAAAACATGTTTGTCAACCCCCAGTCGGGGCTCAAGTCTGATGCTTGGCTCGGGTCCCAGCGGGTAATAAACTCCTGTGTGGATTTAATATTGGTCTCTGGTTGGTTCTTTCTCGCTGGGTGCAACATTAAGGATCCCAGGGAGGATCTGTTCTTGCAATCTTGGGCATCCTGTAACTGATACGGGGCTTATTTTGTGTTGGAGCAAGTTAGAAACAATGTTCAAGGGGGTGTTTACTAGGTAAAGACACCAGAGGTTCTCACACTTCCAATCTGTTTCCCTCTATCCTTCCACTTTCAGTTTTTTCCCTGCATTCTTTTATAAGCTCCTAAGAGCATCTTACACTTTTTGAACGACAGTATCATGAGAGTACATATCATAGTTTCCCCTCAGAAATATGGAAAAGCGGGCCAGCGGGCCAGGGATTTAGCTCAGTGGTTCTGCCGCTCTGCCTCGAAAGCAGAAGGACCAGAGTTTGAATCCCGGTACCAAAAAAAAAGAAATATGGAAAAGCTCTTTTCAGCAGTCTTAATCTAAAATATGTAATTTGGGGCCAGGGATTTGGCTCAGTGGTTCTGGCACCTACCTTGCAAGCGCAAGGTCCGGAGTTTGATCCCTGGTACCAAAAATACCCTAAAATATGTAATTTGGGGGGCAAATCAGAAATACATGAATTATTCTAGTTAGTTGAAGTTTACCTTCATATTCAGCTTTAATCCTTAGCGTTTCATCTGGGCCTTTATGGGCAGATGTTACTCGAAGTTCACAGGGAATTCCATAATTTCCACAAGCTTTCTTGATTTTTTCACAGTGACCAAGATCAGAAGTTGATCCCATCAGTACTACAACCCTGCACTGGCTTTCTGATTTCAGAAGCAACTGGAAAAGAAAAATGTGGATATGAAAAAGAAGACAAAAATGAGTAAATATAGGAATAAAATCATAACAATCAATTTACAGAGGTATAGCTTATAGTAAAATTACTTCCAGACAGAATATTTTCTTTCTTAATATACCCCAATTTGAAAGACAAACAATAAAATAGTAGGCGATTTTTAAATAACCTCTGTATGTGGTCTTCATTATTAAAACCTAACAGATGAGATTTTTTGGGGGGAGGGGGGGTACCGGGGATCAAACTCCAGACCTTATACTTACGAGGCAGGCGGCAGAACCACTGAGCTAAATCCCCAGATGAGATTTTTAATTAGATAAATTTATGTTTACTTGTCTATAGCCAAACTACACTGAATGTGCCTGATTTTGCCTATCTCAGAAGATAAGCAGGGTAACGCCTGGTTAGTACTTGGATGGAAGATAAATTGTGTTTGTTTACTAATATAATCAAAAAGGGATAAACCCTCAACATTTTACATGGAAGCAGAGAAAGGCTGGGGATAGCTCAATAGTAGAGCACTTGCCTAGCATGCATGAGGCTCTGGGTTCCATCTCCAGCATCACTGAACAAAACAAATGAACTAAAAGGGAAGCACTATACCTTCGCACATTTTAGTCTGAAACAAGATTTTCTTAGAAGAAAAACCCAATATAGGTTACTACAGAAGGATTACCTCTACTCTCTCTGCAACCCACTCGAAGTTTTTCTTTACCATCTGGAGCCCTTCAGGGGTTACTTCCTTGAGGTCACGGTAAGACTAGAAAATGAGATACAAAGTTTAGAAAACAAAGTATTTCTTGGTATCTGAAACTGATTTTTGTCTTCTGAGTAGGGATGATAACAAGGGACATCTGAAAATACACCTCAGTCTTCAAATTAATTTCCTGAACTAAACTAGAAATACAGTAGTGAGGTAAAATTTTATTTTCACTCAAGGTGAATTGCTTTCTATACTATTAACAATTGATTGCCTTGAGAATTTTTATTTATTAAGTATAAAGAGGATCTTGCCCTAATTTTGTTAAGAAACAACAGATATGGGTGGAGCCTGGTGAGATCTAGAAGACGTGGTGTAAAGTCCCAAATCTGCCTCTTAATCCTCTAATTGTGAACACTTACTCTCTTAGAACATTAAATTCAGCTAGCCAAACAAAGATAATATTTGCTGTTATTGTTGTGAGAATCTACCATGGTATTAAAAAGATAAAATCTGGCTACCTAGGTTGGCCCTAAATTTTCCACTGTCCTGCCTCCTGAGTAGCTGGACTAAAGGCAAGTGCTGTCACAGCTGTTTACTGACCTGTTTGTCTTTCTGCTGGCTTCGATCTCCTGATGGCCAGAGTCTCCAGGAATCATTATCAATAACATCAGCAAGAACAATTTCTTTGGTGGTCACATCAACCCCAAATTCAATCTAGAAATAGCATATTACCAAAGAAAAATTTAAAAAATTTATACTATTAACATTTCTCAGTTATAATCTCTACTTTCAAATTCTTTGTTTCATCTGTACCTTCATATCAACCAGTGTACAGTTCTGGGGCAACCAAGATTTCTCCAGTATTTCAAAAATAGCTTGTGTAGCATGACTCATGATATCCACTTCAGTTTGGCCTATAACAAGTCCAGCAAAGCAAAATTTTGCAGCAATTAGCTGTTCCTCAGACCACTGCGGATCATTATTAGCATCATCCTGAGAAGTACAGTAGAACAATTAATTTAAATCTAGAATTTTTGAACTTTTTAGAAAAACTAACATCTTCCACAAACAACAGGAAGGCCAAAACACATTTCAATCTATCCAGTCTTTCCAAAATTCAGTTTTTACAACCTTCTGACCTCATTTTTGATAAAAACTTACATAGCCCCGCAAGTGCAAGGACCCGAGTTTGATCCCTGGTACCAAAACAAAACAAAACAAAACAAAATACTTATATAGGAATACAAATCTTTAATTTTTTTTTCCGCTTGAGACAGAGTCTGTGTAGTACAGGCTGGCTTCAAACTCAAAGCAATCCTCCTGCCTCAGCCTCCCAAGTACTGGATTACAAGCATATACCACAATGTCCAACAGAAACACAAATTTTTAGGGACACTATTTGATATTTCAAGAGATCTCAGACAAAGATATTAATGAAAAAACAATTATTTTAAGCACTGTCCCAATTTTATGATTTAATGGATTTTGATTTACATAATTATAATATAGACAAGTTATGCAACTTACTGTTTAAAAATGCCAAACTATCATTGCTTTCTATTTCTAGATTTTTGGTTTTTGGTACCAGGGATCGAACTCGGGACCTTGAGCTTGTTTGTTTTAGATTTTTGAGACAAGGTCTCACTATTAGTTCAGGCTAGCCTTGATCTCCTATGTAGCCCAGGCTGGCCTCGAACTCACAGCAGTCCTCCTGTCCGAGCCTCCCAAGTGCTAGGACTGTCATTGCTTTTTAAGTACAAGATCTATGCATAATACCATAAATCAAGATGGAAAGAGTAAAGCAATTTGAACATAGACTGTAAAAATTCAAAACTATTTATTCCTATGTCCTTATGGTATATATTTCTGGTAACAGAACCAATGATAGTACATTTTCCTCTATTAGGCTACAGAATATGTTTCAACTGTAAATTTTTTTAAAGAAAAATTCCCAGGCCAGCCTTGAACTTCCTATCTTCCTTCCTTAGCCTCTAAAGCACCACACTGAGCTTCAACTCTAAATTTAAAGAATTTTTTAACTAAATGTTACTTTCTTTTCTAATTATTATTTATTTAAATTTGTTCATTTCAAGCTGGATGTGTAACACATGCCTGTAATCCCAGCTCTTAGGAGGCTGAGATAGGAGGCTCTCTGCAAGTTCAATGCCAAGCTGGACAACATAGTGAGACCCTGACTCAAAAAATAAAAACACAAAAACTGTTTGTCAGTCAACTTGGTCCAAAGGTGTTATGGCTTGTGTTTCGATGTCCCCCTAAAGCCTCATGTGGATGAGGTGGGGCTTTCTTTATCAGAGGTAGTTGAATCTGGTATGTGTGATGCTGGGATTAAGGGCATGTGATTACTAAACCACTACATGTGAGTGACTGGTTTGGCATTGCCCGAATCCAGGTACTCTGGATGGGATAAAAGGGTCAGAAAGACACTGTTAAGGTCTCATGTTGCTTTTGCTGTCTTTTGTCCCAATGAACTGTTTCTCCTCTGCCACCCTGCCTTGGAGCCAGCTGATTATGGACTGAAACCTCTATGAACTGTAAACCAAATAAACCTTTCCCCCTTTAACTTTGGGTGTTGGGTATTTTGTCTCAGCAAGAGAGAAAAGTAAGTAACACAAAAGGTAAGTACATTTTCACAGACATTTTAAAAATCTCACTTATCATTGTTAATGGAAGTATACTTTACTGACATAAATTTCAAGAGTAACATTTGTAGTAGCAAATACTTCAATGTTTAAATCTTTTGGGTTTGTAATTAAAAGTTTGCTGCTACATTAGAGTAGGACACAGAATCATAAAATAATTACCTTGAAAAATAGCTCCACTATAGGTGGGTAAAACTTAAATCCTTCCTTGACACCAGGATTTCTTTTGAGAAAAGAACCAGTTGCTGTTCTTCTGCAAACCCATTCAATTGGAATCATTTCACATTGGGGAGCAATGAAAGCTGTCTCTCCACATTTTCTGGTGAAAGCTGTTTTGATACCTACATATTGATTGCAAAAGTTAAAAGGCATTGAGATCTTAAGAAGGTAGATCAGAACACAATAAAACTCTACTCTACAAGACACAAACAAAAAACCTCTAGCACAAACAAAAAACCTCTAGCAAGAATAAATGTAATTTTTAAACAGAGAAAACAGGAAAAAAGTATTTTTGTGGTATTGGGAGCAGGCCCAGGGCCTCATACTAGGCAAGTGCTCACTCTACCACTGTGATACATTCCCATCCCTTGTTTTTGGTGATGTTACAGATCAAGCCTAGGGCCATGTGCAGGGTAGGCAAGCACTCTACCATTGAACTACAGCTGCAGCCACTAAAGCCTCTTCTACTGTTTAAAACAAATAATCCTTGGAAAAGAACATCCATCAGGTAGTCCAAGAACACAGCAGCAGCTTTGGCCAACAGCAAGTAAATATTTATCCTTCTACCGCTTTTGTTTTTTAATTTTTTTTAAATTTTATTTTATTGGTACATTTTAGGTATACAATATAATGACATTAATCATTGGAAATCTGCACCTTTGCCCCTCTTCTTATGCAGAGTGTTACTGAATAAGATAAAGATCTGATGTGGTATTTAGTATGGAAACTACTTGATATGATGACTTTGGACAAGAACCTCTCTGATAATAGTTCAAATATGTCATGACCCAGCAGCAATGCTGCTTCTAAAAAGCAGGGACTCAACAGACACTAATACACCAATACTCACAGCACAAACATTAACAGACAGCCAAAAAGGGAGAACAACACAAACATTAACATAAAAACAAAATTATCAGGAGATGCCCAAGAGGATGAAAAAATAATATACAAAGAATAAAGTTTATTATTTGAGGGGCCAGGATCTGATCTGAGCTCTCTCCTGGCTAAGTCCACTTGCTCTTAGCTCTTTTCTGGTTAAGACCAGGATTCTTAAAAAAATAAAAATAAAAAAAAT